GTGCTGTGGCATCTCCGGGGGGTTCTGCCCCTTGGCACAGAGCCGGGACCAGGCTCCTGCCGCTGCGTTTCTCCTCTGGAAGGTGTTTTCCTCGTTGCAGGGACTGGAGAAGGCGCTGGGGCAGCAGGAGGTGGCTCGGAGGTGTGTGAGCCCAGATGTGCTCAAAGCTGGGGGCTGAACACAGGTGTGGTGGAATTAGAAATTAAAGGTAAACAAGAGAAATGTGGATGGCAATGTCAGGTTAATGGTTGGACTCGAGTTTAGAGGTGTTTTACAGCCTTTTGGGCTGAACGATATATGAAGGATACAGAGTTGTTAGGGAACATCCAAAGGAGGGCCACGGAGATTGTGAAGGGTCTGGAGGAGAAGCCATGTGAAGAGCAACTGAGGTCACTTGGTTTGTTCAGACTGGAGAAGAGGAATCTCCATCAACTCCCCCTCCCAGGGCAGCCTAAGCCTCCCTTGCTGGTTCTGGTGTGTGAATGGTTCAGAGTGTGTGGAACACCAGTTTTGCCTTCATTGTCACCTTCCTCTGCCAACCCCCCTTGTTCTGCCTTCATCCCCACCCTCCTCTGCCGACCTCCCTTCCTGCATTTGTGCTCTGTGTGTACACAGAAACCTATTGCTGATAGAAAAGTCCTTTCGTTTCCAGGCTCTGCTGTAGGTCAACAGAGGTAAATAAAACCAATAGTGAAACAAAGCTTTGCTTCAGCAAACCCACATTTATAGGTAGAAAGGGTTCCTGTCATAAGGCAATATAAAGATATAAGATTTGCCGGAATTGAACATGTCTGAAAAATTGCCTTTTTTTCCCCCTCCATAAAATAAATTGCCTGTTACTACAGGAATTGCCCTTAGACTATCAGGCTGCAGCATTGCTAATACCTCATGACGCCTTCATTCAGTGCCTGATCCTATCTCTGAGCAACTGTTTTCTCCAGCAAAGAGAAATGTAATGCTCAAGTGCTTTGTGAGTAATTTGATTTTAATCAAGTCTGTTCATCCATCACAGTCCTGTGGGTCACTGGCTGGGAGAGACTGTGCCAGCCAAATCCCACGTCCTCCCCTTTATGACAGGGCACTTGATAATCAATCCAAATCACATGGCAGCAGGTTTTGAAGTAGGAAATGAAACTTGTGCTAATTTATCAGTGTTCCTGGAGCAACCTCTGCTGCTGTTATTTATTATGCAACCAAAAGGGACAAGACCCTGGGTAGGATAATGATGGTGGGATTTGGCCTCAGTTGTGTAAATTTACTGGCTGTTGCTGGTTAGGAGCTATTAATGCAATGTGTGAATAAGGGCTGGGTAGAAAACCAGTGTGATGGTGAAGAGGGACAAGTATTTGCTGTTTGCAGTGCTGGCTGGGGGCGTTCATGTTCCCTGTCCCCTCACAGGCTGCTCTGCCTGCTCACTCTGGTGCTTGGGGCTCTCCCCTTTGCTGGACCTTCTCCAATACCCCGAGATCTTGCTCATAGCCAGGGAGGCCTAATTGTGGTGTGGTTATTGGCAGTTAAACTGTCTCCAAAGTAATTTCCAAGCTTTTTCAATGAGTGTTGTTGACATCTGTGCTCACTGTGCACAAAGGGGTGTGAAGGAGGCAGCAAATTTTTATGGAAGGGATTTGGGGTTAAAATAATCCTTTTGGTCATGGTGCAGCTTCATCTATGGTGCAGGCAAAAGAAAAAGGCACTTTGGGCCACATCTTTACCTTGTCCTGTCAGCTTGATTTCCTAAAGGGAAAGGCTGATGTGACCACATACATGTATGTTTATGTATTATGTATTCCATTTCATCCCCAAAGATAAATTTGAGTCTGTGGGCCACTTCTGCCAGATTTGACAAGGGATGAGACCTCCAAGAGAAGCCATTCTAAGTCCTGGGAAGAGAGACATGATGAGCAAAAGGAGGGGACACTGCAGTGTGAGCTGGCTCTATCAGACACCGGGGAGGGAGCATGCCTGGGTGCCAACACTGAGGGGGGAGAAGCTTCAGAAGCTTCAGTGAGATTTTGAAATCAGCCACGGACCCAAGTGTGTCACGTATTTCCTCACTCCTGGCACAGGGACTGCGGGGGGTGCAGGCTCTGAAATCACGCAGTCACAGGAGCTGCATTTGAAGGATTTAGAAAGGCTGTGTACAGCAATATGGGAGTAAAGAGCCAGGTAGGGTTGGCATGGAGCCTTCTGTGCTTAGTCAAGGGCAAGTTGAGACTGATAACAATAAAGCAGGGATGCAGCCAATGCCTCTTTTATTGCTTCATATCCTAATTTTAATGGGAAGGCTGTAATTAAGGGAATTTAGCTCCAAGTTATGACCTCACGGGTTGATACTCACATCAGATGCTGCCTTAAAAATAACTCATCAGAAATCAGGGAGTCTTCCATAGCAGCTCATCTTTTAGCAATGCAGTTCCTCCTGAAATACTGGTTTGCAGGCCAAAACCTTGACTGGAATCTGAGGGGCAGAACAAGGCAGCTTTGCATGCAAATAACCTCTCCAGCAACATCAAAAGGCTGTTCTTTCCTCTACTCCTGTCTGCTCATCTCTTGTTCTGGAAAAAGTTATGGAAAACTACTGAGCATCAACTGTCCTCTGTTAAAAATAATGGTGGAAGTATCCTGCTAACAGGTGATGGAAACTTTTGCCCTTGGATGTCTGCTAGGCATGGTTTCTGTGGAAAGTTTCTGAACAGCTTTGTAATTTTTTGCTCTGGCTTTGTATCGTTTTAGAGATCCAAGGAGCTGTTTGCTGCTTCAAAGAGAGGGTGAACCCTTCTTCTGGCAATGATTTGATAAGGTAGGGGTTAAGGGAATTGCCTGGTGTTGGATGATTACAGCACTACATGAAAGGATGCCCGAAGTTTGAAAGATTGAACTTTGATGAGCAGACAGCTTTTAATTCAGCCTGTCTCAAGGTAACCATGTCTGCAGTGGCTGAGGCTGACATTTGGTGCCACCAGAGTTTAGAGAACATAACAGAGACAGCTCCCAAGCCTGCCACAGCCATGGTGGGCTCCAACCCTTGCAGTTCTGCCCTCCCCATGCCAGTGCACACACCTGTGGGTCTGAGCTGAGTGCTCCAGGGTCACGGGGTCATAAAATACATCCCAGCTCCTTTCTCCCAGGGTTGCTAAACAATTTATCCAGGCCACTGTGGCCCCACAAAGCCACATGTTGGCAGAGCAGGAGCGGTGGGCTGGTGATGGACAGCGGTGGGTGAAGTGACACGCAATCAGCAGATCTTTGTTTGCACACTTCTTATCTGGAGGCGTTTGCATCAGAACTCTAAATCAAGCAAAGCCGCATGTGAAAGGCACTCCTGACTTGCAGAGGGGGTCACAGAAAGGGTAATTCTGTTAAGCTATTGAAATAATAAAGCAATCATTAATGAGCAGTTCTCTCCATTGGGGAAGCAGACTTTTATCTGGAGATGTAAACATATTTAGGAGCATTAGGAAGGAGAAAGATGGGGGCCTGTATCTTTGATACTGCTCCCTTAGGGCCGGTTGTTCAAAATTCAGAGCCTTGGACCCTGATACTCAAAGCAGGAATTGCTGCTGGCTCCAGTGAGACCACATGAGCTCCAAGCACTGGGTGAGAACTGGGGTGTCCATGACGCAGCAGCTAAAATTAGTTTAAAAAAAAGGAGGAAAAAACCGGAGAAATCTTGATGGGAGAAAGGATAAAACCCAAACCACCTGCCCACTATCAGTGGCTGATGCAGGAATAAAGTCCTGCTCTCCTCTTTGCCATTCCCTGTAGCAGAACCATGTTGAAATCAGTAAATATTGGGCAACTTTGAACAATCAAACAAGGTATCACCCAGAGAGCTGCAGCACAGCCTCAGAGCACACTGGAAAGATCAACAGAGCTGCCTGGTTGTGGTGTAAAGTTCATCTCCCATTCTATGTGAAGAATCATTGCATTTCTGCTCCTCTCAAGCTGGGAAGCTGCTCCCATGAGGAAACCTTGGGAAGAAGCTGTGAAAGGAACACCAGATAGAGTTTGGTGAGCATAGGAGTCCAATTCCCACAGACCCATGGCAGTTGTTTCTCCCTCATTCCTCAGCTCCCCCTTGGTTCCCACTTCTCTTCTGCAGTCAACAACCATGGCTGCTCCTTGGGTGCTTTCAACACAAGACTAAGAATGGTTTCAAATGGAAATTCAGGAAAATAACAGCAAGGAGAATCTCCTGGAATAAAAAAACGCCCCTGTAGAGTTGACAAGGCTGCAGTAATGAGAGGAAATGAGCTCCTCAGTTCAGCTTTGGATAGAGCCTGTCAAAATCTGTTAAAAATGATTATATGATTTTCCCTTCCCTGACCCTTTTATCCTAGAACAAGTTTGAAAACGAAAAATGTGTTGTGCAAAGAAGTTCTTCTCAAAAATCATTAACTTTTCTATAGGAAAATATGTCCATTTTGGTGTTGGCCACAAACCCTCATATTTTTTCCTTTGGTTTTTACAAAAGCTTAACATTTTGATCAAATTGGCTTTTCTTTTGTGCAAGGTACAACTTTGCACAGAAAGCTCTCCCCAGATAACAGTTATCACAATGATGATGATAACACCATAAGGTAAATTCTGCCCATTTCATGAATGAGCCCAATCTTTATTTTTCTTCATCACAAAAGTCATCCCACATTTGTTGTACACATTGTTGGTTGCTGTGTTACGGGACATATCACCAGGTATCAGATGCTTTACTCTTGCAGAAGCACTTCTAATGGAGATGGAAGCTTCTGTTGGCTGAATTTTAGAACAACAGCAAAAAATAATAATACAAAACAAAAATATCATCTTCAGCTGCATAGCAAATATGGATCAAAAATTTAACACTGTATCAGATCACAAGCGTAAATATACCTCACCATAAATAAAATTCATTGTACAAAATAACTCAAGCAGCTTTTCATACAAATATGGTACATTTGACAACAGTTTTTGAGAATATTTTCTTGGTTTTTTACACCTTTGATTATTTTCTCTTTTGTTCTCCAATACACATGAACCCACTGGACTGGAGTAATGCAGGAGGAAAAGGACTAATGTGGTTCAGTGCTACTAAGTGCTGTCAGAATTTAAAAGGAAAACCACTGAAGTGCTGAATTTCATCTAGTTTGCTTCCCCATTCTATTGTAGCATTGCAAGTCAAGTGTAGCATCATCCCAGAAAAGCATGTGCACTGCCAACAGTCACATTTCATAATGGCAAAGCCAGAGGGAACATTAAAATAACCCAGTCTGACTTCATGCATGACACAGGCCATCCTTTCTCCTCCCTGTAATTCCTGTTTGGAGCCAACAGCTTGACTTTGGAGTAGACATTCCAAGTGGTGGCTGGTGAGTGCTGGGCAGTTGCAGACTACTTTAGCATAAGCAGGAAAAGATAGATAATAAAAAGCAATTCCATTGTCAGTGGACTTGGGAGGGTTCAGACAGGGGTCAACATTTCCCTAAGAAAACAACATTAGAAGTCTGCTGATTATAAAAGACTGAAAAATACAGGACTGAAGCACAACTGCAAGGAAGACTCCCAAACTTGGCAGAAAGTCTGCAAGTGTGAGGAATATCCCTGAACCCCTGGCAATCTGTTACTATTTAGCCCTACTCTTACAAATCTGCTCCCTATTTCCATTAACAATTATGACATTTAAAAAAGCATGGGAGGAAAAAAAATCCATTTTCATGAAGTTGTTTAAAGACCTAAGCCTGGACCTTTCTCATTTACAGACAAAGAGGGTGAGAAAACTGAAGCTAAGGAGTATCTGAATCCTTGAGATAATCAAAGGACAGTAACGTCAAATCTCAGAAATTAAGACTGTGATTATTACTAGCTGATATCTCATACTACTTGAGCAACAAGCAAAAGATCTGCATACACTCTACAGTCAAAACACTTTACATTTTGTTCATGCACTTTGACATTTTGCTCAAAACATTTAATCCCTTGGAATCTGGAGGGATTTGACATTTTTGCTAGCAAATCTGAGGGCAACAAATAGATTTCAACTACTTGTTCTTTCAAGTACAGCCTGTACAAGTACAACAAACTTCCAGTGCAAGTGTGTTTTGCAGGCTTGCAGGGAATTATGGCAAAACTACAGGAAAAGAATGCAAACAGATTTACAGATTATTAGGTGAAATATCTCATGACTCACTCCAGACCTAAACTGATGAAAAGAGGGATTTAAATTCACCTTACTACATCCCATTTTTGTCTAGGTAGCTGAGACTGAGCCATTTGGTACAGTTCATTCTTTTGTAGCAACTTCTGGTACATGCTGGTTTCCAAGAAGACTCCAGCATTCCATAGCTTGTCAGATGTAATAGGACACTTAATTTGTGCTGTGCCTAGAGGTGGCTCTGAAAGCCAGACAGGGACTTGTGCCAACTTTTCAGCAAGACTTTGATACCAAAATAACAAGCACTTGCTATTTAGGTCAGGAAAAATAGGATCTTGGTCGGATCTATCTTCCTTGCATTATCCTTCCTTTATTTTTGTTTTCCACAAAAAATAAAGTTCTTGATTCTTCTCTTCCTTTTAAAAATATATAACTCTAGATTCCCTCACTCCAGTAGTGTAGAAGTGTTGGATCACGATGGAATGGCAGAACTGACATCCTTAGAGGAAGAGTAAGTAGAGAGCAAGCTCCAGAAGCTCTTGTGCTGCTCTTCCTCATGACACAGAGGAAAGAACTCGCCTTGCTGGGCTGGCTCCTTCCCTGCCACTCCAAGATTTCAGCCAGACTTCCTGAGATTTCATTTTACTTTCAGGTTACTGTGCTGCACAATTTCCTCCCTGCAGCTGAAAAGGCCTGTCTCAGTAACAAAATGAAACTCAAGGCGTGAAAATGCCCAGCACTTGTCACATGCAGGGTATTGATTATTGATTATTGATTATCAAGGGAGTAGGTGATGAGAGTCTGGGAGCACAAGTTCATGCCACACACCAAGATCTCCTCTTGCCAGCAGTAGTGTGCTGGCTATTGTTTCTGAAGACAAAAACTCCAGCTCAGATATTTCTACTAATTAATTATATGCTCCCTCTGAGAGAATAAATGCCCAGGCTCTGCCTTTTTAACATCTGTAACAGCATGCAGTTTACAAAGCATAATGAAATGCATGGAACAAATATATATTATCACATCTGGATACAGCAATTTTTGCTGTGGCCAGGCTAGAGCTGAGGAAACACTGCCAGTTGTGAGGCTGGCATCATTTTCTCTTGGAGCACATGGTTTGATCTCCTTTCACATCAAGCACTGGCTTTTGTATCACTCCAATGACTCTGCTGAGGGTTAGAAGCAGGTTAGACCAGGAGTTATGAAATCCTCCTTGAAGTTCCACCTGAATCTGTTCTCAATATCCAGGGATCTTAGATTAGCTGAGTGGGAAAAGGCAACAGACTCCAGTGTTCTCTCTAACATGTCTGAACTTGGAAAATTCTGGGTATTTTTTAAAACTTATCCTATATTTTACCTTTCCTAAACAATCACATGATTTCTGAGTTATGGGAAATTTCCTAAGCCCTGCTGGTAGTCACCATTCTCTGGAGAAAGGCATTTGTTTGCTGTGCCACTAGGAATTTGTCTAAACCAAGGGAAAATAGCATCCCAGAACACACACATTACACACCCTGCTCTCACCCTTGGCTGAAGAACAAAGATCCCACATGTTCAAGGTAACTCTACCTGCATCCTGTCAGCACCAGTGATTATTTCCACCCAAATTAATATGTTTGAGAGCACATTCACATGAATGCAGCCTCTTCTGTAGTCCACAGGAAATCTGGTTTATTGGAAAATAAACCAGACACATGGAAGGGGACATGTCTTCAGGGGAGAACTTCTGCTTAAAAATAAGTGGACGTCCCATAGCATGGAAAAAGCCAGGCTGTTTTCTGTTTCCCCAGCTCTCTGAAGTGCTGAGGAGTTATCTGGTGACTGCCTCATTGCTATCCTCAAGCCCACATGCCAAAGCTCATGAAAACAACTGCTGGAAAGGCCAAGGACAAGCAGAGAGCACAAAGCTGGATGAGACATCCATCCACAACCAGTCTGGCGGGGCTCCTCTGCACCCAGCACTTGCTCCTCAGGGCACTGCCATGGGTGACATCCTGCCTTCATCCCTTCTTCCCCTCAAAGAGTGGATCAGGGACTTGTCTTCAGCCCCTCCTGCTCCTTGGCTGGTGGCACATGTCACAGGGGTGTTGATTTGTCCCACTGTTTCTGCAGTGGGAGCGGGTTCCTGGCGCTGTGGGAGCGTGGAGCTCTCCCACCTGAGGCTGCAGTATGGCTTCAGAGAGATGTGTGGACTGGGTGAATCACAGGGAAAACTGGACCACTTCATGGAAGAAAAGCACATTTTGCCCACCCACCCCCACCCCCCCTCAAGTCCGAAAGCTACGAGTAAAACCGATCACAGGGATGGTACAGAGGAACATGCACTCCAGCGGGGCGAGGGGACGGTGTGTCCTCGTGTGGAGAGGCAGACCCAGCCTCACTCCCTTGGCAGGCCTCACACCACCGAGTTTACCCCTCCCAGCTGGTCTGGGTTCAGTCCCTGCTCCCTTCCCACCCCGTGCAGGGTCCGTGTCCACACTAGCAGGTGGTGGCCAGCGACTGGTGGATGGGGGGCTGGAAGCAGCGCACGTGCTCCACCGTGGAACTGTCTGTTTCCACCGACTTCATGTACTTGTTCAGGATGGCAAAGATCTCGTTGTTCAGGATCTGATACTTCCTGATCCTGTCCGCCATCTTCTTCAAGGGCTGGAGGGGTGGTGAGGGAGAGAAACAGCACATGAAGGGTCTTATGTCATCTGACCAGCTAGGAAGTAGCAGCACCTGTGCCCTGCTGCTGGAAAGCTCTGCTAAGGCAAAGCAGCTCTAACACATGTTCCTGTTCCACTTAGCACCTCGCAGGAACCCGGTGACTCGCTTCATTATTGAGTTTGATGACTCAAGACAGAGCATTAACAGGATCACAGAGTGGTCCTCAGTTAACCGCTCCAAAGTCTAGGCTCCCAGCTGCTTATTGATAAAGCCAGCGAGATCACAGGATGGTTGCTGGAAATACCAGCTCCTCAGGTCCAGCTTCCCAACCCCAGGAAGAAGGGAAAGCTTTGGGAGAAAAAAGATTTGATTTTCAAGCCAATTAAAATCTTGGCCTCTCTGCTGAGACTGCAGATGGAAACCTTGCAGCAAGGGCAGCCAGTAGGAATAGGCTTAACACCAGGCTTTGTTGTAATTGATGAGTTTGGACAAAGCAGGATAGAAAATAGAAAGAAGTGTGCTGGTTTGGGTCCTTTGGGACCTCACCCTTCAACTTACCACGTTTTTTATGATTTCATCTTTCCCATCCTGCCTCTGCACCTTCAGCAGGTGGTAGCAGAAGTCGAAGAGGTCAAAGCGCCGCTGCTGTCCAAGGAGAACAATGATAGAGCAACCTGCCCAGTTCAGACCATCTCCAAAGCACTGCCTGGAGGGAGGAGCAGGGTGATGGGTGGGGAGACATGACAGGACAAGAGTTAGGCAAGAGAAGTACCACGGCACCAGGAACTTTCTTGGGTGAATTCCTAGGGAAATCGGGTTCAGTCCTGAGTATACACCTAGAGAAAATGAACCCAGAAGGAGAGAATACAGAATTACACTCAGGCCAGGCTGTGTAGGATGAACCATGGGGTAAGATGGGTGAGGACATAGTACTCATAGATGGGTTGTTGGCCCTGTCACCTTGGGCATTTCCCTTTACCTTGCTCTTTCCTCCAGCTGTTCCAACACAAAGCTGAGCAAACCAAGGACCCACATTGCCCCTGCACCTCCACAGAGGCTCTCTCTGCAGCTGAGGGCACCGGGGGGGCTGGCTGGGGACACTCACTCTGCCGTGAACTCGTTGGTGCCCACGGGGATGCAGTACACGAACTGCATGGCGCTCCAGAGCCGGTGGAACTCCACGCACTCGTCCACGTGCATGACGCCGTTGGTGGGCGGTGGCCCGCGCCAGATGGGGTCCTGCAGGTAGCTGCGGATGCGCGTCAGGATCACCTCGAACATGGAGAGCCCGCAGCACAGCCGCTCCTTGGTCAGCAGGTCCCCCTCCCGGGCAATGGCTATTTGCTGAGGGACAGCCACAGGGACACAAATGAGGATGTGACCCACGCCCGCCGGGTTTAACGCTGCCTGGTCAGTCCCCGGAGGTCCAACCTTACCTCTGATGGCTGCTCCCATGGCACTGCCCACCCCAGCCTTACCTCTGATGGCTGCTCCCATGGCACTGCCCACCAGGGAAGGATCCCCCATCCCTCACACAGGAGGATTAATGTGGTGCTCTGTCACAGATATGTTTTATGAAAAATCCTTTGCTTAGGATTTCTTTTCTCCTGAGAAGCTGAGGCCTCAGGAGCAAAATGTAAACAATGATTATCTGCTGCTGTGGAATGCAACAGGTGGAATTGTGATTGGTCTCATGTGGTTGTTTCTAATTAATGGCCAATCACAATCCAGCTGTCTCAGACTGTCTCAGTCAGTCACAAGCCTTTGTTATCATTCTTTTTCTAGTCTTAGCTAGCCTTCTGATGAAATCCTTTCTTCTATTCTTTTAGCATAATTTTAATATAATATATATCATAAAATCATAAATCAGGCCTTCTGAAATATGGAGTCAACATTCTCATTTCTTCCCTCATCCTGGGACCCCTGCAAACACCATCTCAGCGCTCTGCTCTATTTCACTGACCTCAGAATCTTTTGGAGGAACTATGTACGTCAGAACACCAGAGCTGAAGGCAAAGCTCTGACCAGAAATACTGATCCTTAATTCTGCTAGCGTGCTGCTCTGCCCCGTTAGTGCTTCGTTTCAAGATTGCCATTTCATGATTCATTTAATGGGTTTCGTCTCATGATTTCTGCAGATTATGAAGATAAAACAGGAGAGAACAGGGACATTTTGCTTCCCAGGGCATTGCCATCATCTCTTCAAAATGCAGATAGCCTATGGCTTTCTTGATTTCTTTTGTACTTAGGGTTAAAAAGCTCTGAGGAAGATGAGAAGCCACTGCAAACTTGATACTGAAAAACTTGTGGTTTATAAGAAAGCCAAATATTTTTTTCCCAGATGTGGAAGCTTTACACGCGTGGACAATTTCTGTGACATCCCCGCTCAGATTTAGATATACAAATTTGGAATGGCTCCACTGGATTAAGTTACTTTGGCTTTTACGCTAGAGGCAAGTTAAAAGAGAATTAACTTCATTTCAGCCCCACTGCTCCCCAAGAGGACAAAAATAAAAAAAAAAGGGTGGGGATTTAAAACAAGCAAGCGGGGCCTCCCCCAAGCTGACTGAGTGGTGCAAGCATGAGGGTTTCCCATTGCCCTGGTATTCTCTCAGCTGCCCCATTTCCTGCTGTACCAGTGGCAGGACTGACTTCTCTTTGCAGTGCTGCCAAAACTAACCCATGAAATGGGAGCTGGGTGCTGTCAGAGCCGTGCCATGGCTGTGGGAGGCTCTGGCTCTGCCGTGCTCACCTTGGCAGAGGAGTGGCTGCACAGGCAGAGCCCTTCATCCCTCCCACATTCTAGAACAGGCACATAGAGCAAGTGTGACATTGACTGAGACCTTGCCTGTCCCAGAGGATTTCCTGGAGCTTTAAGCTGTTTTTAAGCATTTTCTCCATTTGCAGCTGTCCCTGCAATGCCTATAAAAATGTTATCCCAATCAGTCACAATGGGGACTCACAGCAGCTGGGACAAAGGGCAGGCACAGGTCCTGGCCAGACATTAAGAACATGAATTATGCTTGGTTTACTTGGGTCATCTTCATTACACTCTGAAAAATGCATGAATGTGCCTGCACATCCCCATTCCTGATTATCAATTTATGCTGGCAGTAACCTCAAGCATTTTTAGTTTGGCTGCTCTTGAAATTAGAAGTGTTTCAATTCTTGCTTGTGCCACAATTTCAAGGATGTTCTGGGGACCCCAGCTCAATTAGTGTTCAACTAATAGCAAATATCAAGGGAAAGCTGTCATCATGTGCAGAGGCCACATCTGGTCTGGGATCTCTTGATCTGTTAAAAGCAGGAATGGCATCACTGATTGCACAGCACACACCTGCCTGTGTTTGCTTGGCAAGTAAAGCAAAGATTTATTTCATCCAGGTTTTTAGCTAAAGGCTGTACAGTGTCCCTCTCCTCACCTGCTCCCAGCTCTTATGGGCACAGGTCTGCACACACTGGTCTATCATGGCAAAATGAGGGCACAGCAGAAACAGAGCCTTTCCAAATGTAAATCAGGTGTTAGCATTACCATTTGCTAAAACATAGTGATAAAAGGGACACTTTTGAGAACAAACCTCTCCAGTGATCTTAGTACACGATTTCTGAAGAGATCTCAATTTAGAAAGGGATGCATCTGCTTTCAGTGTAGGTATGTAGGTAGTGCCACTCAGTTATACACATTCACAGACAGAATTTAATTCTAAGACTCATCACAGTCTTTGATACAGGACTACCATCCTAGGGGAAACATCCTAACTCAGGCAAAGCAGCTGGAGAGCTGTTGGTGCTCTGTTCAGAGCTGCCTCACAGTCTGGGGTCCCAGCGATTTCTAAGATCAGGAGAGGAAGGATGCTCTCAAGGTAAATTGCTACAGGATGCCACTGTGCTGACTCAATTATCCCTTCTGTCTTCAGAAACAAATGCTCTGATTATTTCCAGGGAAGAAACCAGACTGACCAAGCAATTTTGAAAACCTCTTACTAAATACCTTTATGGTCAGCATTAAAAGGGAGAGCATTCCTTTAATGAACCACTTTGACCCCCCTAGTTCTTTATAAATGGTCCATCAAACAGCTGCTTCTGGATTTCCAATGCAAAGTAATTATTTACAACAATCATTGGCAGTTTTCCTGCCATTACACAAATCCAGTTTTGATTTTCCAGTTTTTGAACCTCTTTTACAGCCTGTTTACTGGGGAACTTGCCAGAACCCTACCCAAAACCTGCAAAAATCCACAGATCCCCACTATAATAACATGCATGGGGCCACCTTTTGGGAGAGGCTTTGAGCAGGCAATGTCAGCTTAGATTCTGGACAATTGTTACAAGGCATTTATGCATTCTGTAGGAAAAAATCCTGTATGGCCTGTGTCCAAAACTGCATTTCCAAAATGCATGTCCAAAACTGCATAAAAGGAGCAAGCTTAGAAGCTATGGAGGCACCTATAGAAAGCAAATCTTGTGTTCATTTACATTTGAGCTCAAAAAAAAAAGAAATCTGGTACCCAACTGTACCTGTGTGATGAATATGGGAACAGTTTACAGAAAAATAACTTTTTAGTGGGACATGAAATATCTTTTGTTTTCATCACCATTATAACTACAGCAGAGATAAGCAACAAGTGGACTCTAGTAGCAGAATTCAATGATGATTTTGCATGGAAAGGAGAGATAGAAAGACCAACACAAAGACACGAAAACACAGAGGTGAATTGTTTTTCTTGAGTGTCTCCTTTAAAAGGAAGTGTCTACAGAGTAAGATAAAGTCCTCAGTTATCCAGCCAATTTCTCTACTTCAGATGATTTCCAATGATGCAAAGTTCAAAATGTCCTTGATCCATGAGAAAAAAAATACAGGAAAAAAATATCAACCACTTTCTGCCTGCCATAGATCTGTCACCTCCTACACCAGCTGAGTGTTCTCTCCACTCCCTCATCAGTACATTACTGGAAAAGGGTGTTGATGCATTTGATACTTGAAAGATTTTTATCCCATCACCCCCAAGTAAATGGGCACTTGAAGTTTGATAATTTCTATCAATGGAGCTCAAATTTTGCCCATCGCACTGATCAGTCTAGGGAGACATTTTAAACAGTACTGAGTTTCTGCACAAGAGATCTTTCCCAAGCTGAGACCCACATCAAGAAGATTCTTAAATGGAGCCGTAAATTTTAAGCATGTGCTGAAGCTCTAAGCATGTGCTAGGAGGGAAACCATTCTCAGATGAATTCCTTGACAGGGATGAGCTTAAATGGACCCCACTGCAGTCCTAAAACGGGATCCCCAAAAGTGATGGCAATTGATTGTTAGGACAGCTCTACAAAGATTCTCCTCAAACCACTCCAGCAATTCTTTTTGAAGTGGAGATGAAGAGGTTTTTGGAGTTATTCTGATTCAGAACCGGCTACTAGTACACTTGCCTTACAGCTCCCTGCCAGCTCTCCTGACTGGAGGCAGCAACACACAAATTGTGTGTGGTTCCTGGACCCACTCATGAATTTCCCTTCAGAGTGTTTGCTTGGGCAAGGATTCGGATTTGCTCGTCCAATTGATGTTTTGTGGGAAAAACCAATCAATCAATAAAAAAAAAAAGATCACTTTTCCCAAGGCCAAGCAGGCCATGTGGGGACTGCTACGAGTTTCCAACAGCCATCCCTTCCAATGCAATCCTTACCTGCGGAGTGCCCAGCCTCTCTATTAGGGGAACCAGGTGGAGTGGGGCATACTTGGCTTCGAGACGCTTCATGCGCACCTCCAAGCGTTCTCCTTCTGTCAAGCGAGCAGCAAACAGTGAAATGAGAGGAGGAAGTGGAGACCCGCCAGAGTTTGCTCAGAGCTGCCCCCCACAACCATCCGAGGAGACTGTGGGATCAGGGAGCCAAACCACAGCAATGAGGGGCCAGTGATGCACGCGAGGGAGGGATGGGCAGTGCAGTCTCAGCAGCAGCTTTATCACACATGTCCAAAGCACGGCCCTGCTCCCGAGCACTCCTGTTGAGATGGACATTTCATGCTGCCACTCTCCAAAGAGGCTGTGAAATGGCTTCCAAACCTCAAGGGAACCCCCGAGCTGACTGAGGTATCAGGTTGTAACTATGCTACAGGTGATGCACCCCTGGCTTTTGTTTGCACCTGATGTTTGGCTGTATCCACTGATGTTTGGAGGGGGAAGCAGGGTCAGAGCTAATCCTCAGCAGAGATGGGAGAGAAAACAGCCTCTGGGCAGACACCTCTGAGTCTGCCCACTGCTTCCCTCTCAGCTTCTTACCTTTGATGTAGACCCTGGGCAAAATATTTTGGAAGGGAGCAGCATGCAGCAAATCACAAACTTCTTCCTGGGACTGAGGCAGGAAGAAAGAAAGATAAAGTAAGTTATAAAATACCTATGGGGGAGAGTGAATGGCTCAGGGGCCTGGGCAACACTACAACAGTTTACACCTACAGCACCTATTCAGATCCAACCCAGCTCAGCAGTAACTCCAGTGTTTGAACTGAAATGATCTAAAATTGGAAGTAACACTTCAGCTTCAGTCAGGAAGTTTCCCTAACTCAAGTTAAGTTACTTCCTGCCCGTATAAGGTTAGACCTTTACACTGATTTTCTGTCCTACTAACTAGCCCTGAAAGTAAGAGGGGATAAAGAATATGGAAGTTTCCATTTCATCTTGCCCTGAATGAATTCCTGCAGCCTGTTCTTTAAGAGAGTGCCCAGGTGGAAATTACCCTTTAGCTTACTTATTTTAGGAAGTGTACATTCAGAAAAATATACTGCCATGTGGCTCTTCTGCAAATAGGCACATCATAACTGCTCTGAAATTATTTGGTTGTTGGTGTGGTGTTCTCAGCCAGGGCTACCAGAACCCCAGTGGTGCAGGCACCAAGAAGAATAAAACAGAAGTCCAGAGAGGAATAACACCATGAGATGCCACCTTAGGGGATGCAAGCCAATGCACTTGAGAAAAAAATAATCCCAAACACAGATGCACAAGGAGGAGAAACCTAGAAAAAGGCAGGTGGAGACTGAGGAGCGATGGCCGACAGTACATTGTACACGAGTCTGCAATGGGAAACAGCAGCGAGGAAACCAAAGCTGTTCAACACAGAGGCATCGTGTCACGACAAGGCACCAGCCTGCTCCTGCCAAAGCCTGCTCCCAGGCCATGCTTTCAGTTCTGAGCTCACTGGAGAGATGGGGACACACTCGGAAGCAGATCATGAGAGCGCAGCAGGAGGAACCCGGGCCCGCATGGAATGGCTGGGCTGGGCCTGTTGGGATGCAGGGGTGCACAGCACCCTCCCAGCCAGCAGGACAGAGGAGCATGGAGCTGCAGGAGGCTGCACTGGCGCATGGATGCTGGGATGAGAGCAAGTTTGTGGGAGTGCAGTTTGTGACACAGTGCTGGAGGGACAGGAACAGTCTGGGCCCCTCCACGGGCACAGAGGTGCTGATGCTAACGGAGTGGGCCTGCCACCTTGGCCATTTTGTTTGCAAAACACTGTTTCATTCCTAGGTGAATGTTCTTCCACTGCTGTTTTCCTCTAATACAGTGAGCATTTTCAGCCATTTGCAGCCTGCATTCACCTCATATCTGTCCCAAAATGAGTCGTGTTATTAACAGACCTCTTCCCCAGGGCCCATTAACCGCGAGCACAAACTCTGCTTAGAAATTTAATCCCAAGCAACCTCTCATTCCTCAAACTTAAACAATAAAAAGGGGGTAAAATGCAGCAGACTGGACATCTGCATCAGAGCCATTTTTGCCAGCAAATAACACCAGCCTTAGATCACTCAGACAGCTCTGAAGGTAATTGCAGTATAAAAGCAATTCTTCCTGCTGCACAAGAGCTCCATTAGAGGGAAAATCTTGTTCTGTGATGGCTCTGTGCATCTGACATCCTCCAGCAAGTGGGAACCAGTGCCCACTGCATGCAAAATGTTTGTATTCCAAGCCTGTTACTGCAAGGAAAAACAGAGGATCCAAGAGGGAGAGACTTTGTCTGGCATAGAAAGTAGCAGATGTGGACTTTGGTGGGCAGCCTTCCTTAAAGGAACCCCAAATTCCCATCATCTTTATTTTCTGCTATTCTAAAATGCCAGTATACTGCTGATGTACAGTTCTTGGGACTGAAGGAACATTTCTGCATTGAAATGAAGGATTTCTAAAGAAACCACCATGTCCCTTGAGTGTCCCAATAAAGATGTGACAGGAAAGGCAAATGCAGTACATCCAGCAGAAAACCCAACACTTTTGGGAACAGCAGGAAGCACTGACAAAGCCACAAAAAGAACAGAAACTGCCAGAGTAAAGTTGGCAACTCTGGTCATTCTATAAAATTCTATAACAGCCAAGCTGCTGGGTGATACACATCTCTTGTATTCATCTTATGCAACCACTGCTCACTGAATGTGTTTGGTACACTACACCAAGAATTAAAAGTCTCTAGATCTGGAGTTAAAATGCAAAGGCAAGGGCAGAAATATCCATTTTGAGGACATGCAGAGACTTTTAGTTTTCTCTGTGCTCTATGGCCAGATAAAACTTGGAATATTTGAACTTTATTAAGGCTTTGCTCTGAACAAAACTCCTGGTTTTGCTTGGAAATTCTGTCTTATGCTAGGAAAGCAATTTTGAAATATTTCTGGAAAAACTGAAACAACCCTGCCCAAACCATTATGATACAGTATGTCCATTTAATGTACAGTTCTGTTGTTGAGCACTCCTCAGTTGGCTCTGGGCTAAATTATGAGATAAATTCATTGCTTGGTAAATTTGTTATGTGAAAAACTAGGAGCTAAAAAGATGAATGGCACTCAGCCACAGCCTTTGCCCCACACAATTAAGGGTATCACATGAGCTGAGAGACTTGTGCACGTTTAAAACTCCACTGCAGGGGGCAATACCAAGTTGTTACTCCAGCAAATTTGTGGAAGTGAAGTGAAGATGTCCTAGGACATATATAATCATCATATTTCCTTCCTGCTGGACTGCTTTATCCATTCCACCATTACAATCAACCAGGTTGTTTCCATTGCACTGGCACCCCAAAAGAGCAGAGGGGTCAAATCTACTTCTCACTGTACAAATATGCATATAAAAAAGTATTGATCCCTGCCCCAGAGAGCTCACAATCTAGAAGTTAGCTCCAGTTTTATTTCTAAGCAGGACAAACAAGGGGCAGCTTTAGGTCCAATAATGTTCCAGTATTCAGATTCAGCCATGCCAGAGGCCTGACCCAGTGCCAACGCACACCATCCCCATGGTCATGCCCAAGACTCCAATAACACAGCCCCAGAGAGACCCTGAGAACATGAGAAGCTGGAAAGTAACACTTCTGAAACTCTTCTGCTGGAGAACCCACTTGCACTTCTACTCTTGAGCTGGAAATTTCGGGTACCACGTTGGTGTGGGGGTTTTGCCTTACCAAAGCCTGCTCGATAAGGAGGCAGAAGAGAATGGCATTGCCCACTTCTCTGAGGCTCTGGAACACATCAGTCTTCAGCTCTGCATACTCAATGATGTCCTTCAGCTGGTGGTGGAAAAACTCCAGGATTCCTTAAAAGAGAAGGAAGGACAGTCAGAAAGAGATTGGAATCACTTTCCGGTAATTTGGATGAAAAGATGATCAGTGTCTGGTATTCCCTTAATCACAAATTGCAGCTGCTAAATGGATACACAGAGACTGGCATTGGGAAGAACTAACAGGCAGTGTCTTATCCTGCTTTCAGTAAACCTTGGGAAATAGGGAGTAAGTAATTTAAACTCCCTGGATTTCTTCATCAGAGGAGGAAAGAGGTTCCAGGCTGTGATGGATGACTTGGTGCTGGCTCATGTACAGCAGCCACAGTTTTTGACTGCAGGCATGCTGCAAAAAAAATCTCTTCACCAGCTAAACAGAGCATTTAAAAATACCAGTGAACTCACAAAAGCTTACAGAATCCTGAAAACATAAGAGAGGCTACCAGAAGACATTCCCTTATCAGCCATCTATGTGCTCAAAAGGAAATTTCCAGCAGATTTCCTGGAAAGGTTTCCTAGACCTGTTCCAGTGTTAACAGCAGAGCAGCTGTAAGTGTCACAGCAAACCTGGCTGCAAGTGGCACTGGCAGGACAGGTGCCCAACCTGGATTAACCATCAGTGTGGGCCTGAGTAAATGCTGCAGCAACACATGGCTGAGCTCCTGCTGAAGGATCCCACCAGCAGTACCCACCTGGAGAGCCATATTCATGTCTTGGCAAGCGGCAAATCTTGGGCATGACTTCAATCAGAGTCTTCACATACTGCAGGATGGTGCCTTGGAGCTGTTGGAGACAAAGGGAGGTTAAACTGGAATGCCAGGTCTCCTGGCACTGGTTTTGAAAGAGGCTGGTTGTGCATGGGTCCACATCTGACAGCAGACGATGAAACTTCAGCTGGAGTCTGAGAAGAACTTGCTTAATTTGGATTTCACTCAAATATGAAATTCAGCCCAAGTGTATGGAGTCAGAGTGCTTTTCCCAAAGAATAAATCCCAGCTGCATGGATTTTCAACTTCAAAATACAGCTTGCTGTGTTTGTATTGTTTGCAGCTGAAATCTAAGACAAGGCTCAGCTTAGATGCAGCTGGACTTGTGCTTCTAACCCAAAAAGCATTTCACCAGAGCTGCCAAAGGACTCACTCCCTAGCACAGGAAATGCTCCTTCCACCTGAGGAATGATCCCTGGATGCTCAAGAGTTTAATAAAGAATTTACATTCATGTAGAGCAAGTTTCTGCAGATCAGATGTTTTGGACACACAAGGATTAGAGCAGAGCTCACTGCTTAGCTTAAAGCCCTTGCTGTCATTTGGAGTTACACACCTGCACCCTGTGGATACTTTACATGAGATAATGCACCAAATTCCATTTAGTCAACCGTAAAATCTTTGTGCTGAGTGCTGTCTGATCCTGCTGAGACACTCCACCATCCCACAGGAATCACTGGGATTCCTCATCACTGAAAACCAGCCCATGGCTCCAAGTGCTCCAGCGTGGATCGAGAGACACGACAGTGCCCCGATGCCAACACCCCGATGCCAACGCCCACACTGCCTGCCCCCATCCAGCTTTGGGGTCTCTCCAGCACCAGGGCCAGGCTCAGAATTACCAGGCTCTTGACAATCTTCAGCAGCTCCTCCATGACCACAGCAATGCCCTGGTAGCCCAGGAGCCGACAGATGGTCTTGAAATGCGGCGGCCCCACGAAGTTGCGGTAGGAGCTGTAGATGTGGCTGTAGGCGATGTTGAGAGGCTGCAAATTGGAATTAGAGACAGTTACCTGTAATTCCTGACCAGACCTGTAATTCTCTTATCACAGTATTATGTACAAATTTTAAGGAGGAGGAATAATAATACCGATGGCCATTCCCACTTGAGCTTCTTGTAGGAGACAAGATTGCTTTTCTTATGTGCTCAGATATACTCTAACCTCAACACTGTCATGTCACAAGGTTTTATTACCCTCCTATGTAGCAACACCACTTTCATTTCCAAGGTAATTTACTCTCCCATACACTCCCAATCAAATATTTCAGTTCAGTGGCCCTTTGCCTCTTCAAAATCAAATTGTTCTCCACTAAAATGAAAAGTTTTACATACATTCAAGCAGAAAGATTTTTTTTTCCCCTATGAGCGCTTGCTTTAAATGAGGCATATTAAGAAAAGTAGGAACTGAAGCAACTGAGTTTAAGGGCAGATGGAAAAGACACAGAAAAGATCCTTTTTCCATCCTGCAAAGCTTTACATCAGCCTCTACTTCCCATGGGTCTGTGTCAAGGGTAAGAATCTGACACTGGTCTGGGGAAAATGGTGCCCAGGACACTGCCCCCAAAAATTCTTAGCAGCAGAGAACAGAAAGTGATTTCCAGGAATGTACTCTATCAGTGTCATCTTGGAAACATGGAAATTGCTGCAATATTTCATTACTGGAACATTTACAGGATCCATTTGGTGTGAGGCAAAGAGAGGTAGGGGGAATTAATTCACTTGTGTGCTCTGCAGAGCAGTACTGAGAATCAGATTTAGCTGAGACACCACATGCTCAGAGAGGGCTCTGCAATGTCAGTGCTGGCATCACGACTCAGCCCAGCAGAGGGGCTGCACTCTCCCCCCCTGACATCTCCACCTCAGCCTCACGGAACAGCAAAAAAGCCATCCTGGAAAAGATCCTGGCATGCAGTGCCCCTTCCAACAAAACACAGATTCACCCCAGGCTCATGCTGACCTACAGGTGAAACAAAGATAAGGAAACAAATCAGACAATCCCAAATGCCCTCCTGTGGATACTGCAGACATATTCCACAGGGATCCTTTTCTGCCAGTAATGGAGCCAAGGGAGGGATGGGATGAAGGCACTGAGGAGGTTTGGGTGAAAGGGAGCCAGGGCTGGGGTACCACAACAGGGCAAAATGTTGTCTTTGCTCCACTCTTGCTGCAATATCCCCAGCTGGAGGCTCCCATCACCCTCAACTCCTGATTCACTCCACAAGGTTTACTTTTAACAGTTCCTCTGAGCTGCTAATGGGTTACAAAGTCATTGGCTGAAAATTGGAAAAGTATTTTCTTTGCTCTCAGGTACAGAATTTCACCAGTGCACTGACCACGCTTTCACAGACTTGTCAGTTACTTTAATCAATTAATTCACTCTCATTCTGTCACAGCCCTACAGATCTGGTCCAGCAGGTTGTTACCTGCTGTAATTCCTAAGTGCTCTTTGAACCAGCAAAAATAAGGCTCAGCTAGAAAGTCCTCTATTTTCTGTGAAATGTAATTTCACCTCTTGTTCCTGGTAGGTGCAAATAGCCCTGAAACACAATATTAAGTGCAGAAAGACTGCCTTGGAGGCTCATTCACAATAAGCAAGACCTTTCTCTCCCATCAAAACTTAAAGAAAAAAAAAAGGGCCCTGAGTATGTGGGTATGTGTCAGAGTTAAGAATTATTTAGGCAGACAGAAGCCTACTTTCAAAGCTCCTTGGATACCAGCTCTTAAGAGAACTGAGCACCTCAATTAGGCTTCTGTCTGCATCCTCAGATAACCAAGTCTTTAAAAGTCTGGTAGAGACAGACCCAAAGCCACTGGTTATGCACCCTGATACATGTGAAAAACTGCAATGTGTTTTTTTTGAAAAGTGTTTCTGTTTAAACACCAGGTAATGCCCAACCTGGAACATTTGCCAAATAGCCAACATGACCATCCCAGAGGGAAGTCAGTGCTCCAGGGCCCCAGCCCAGCCACACTCCACAGCTTTTGTTGCTTTAACTTTTGCAATGCACTGTCCCAGCCTCAGGTGTCCCCAGAAAGTGAGAGCTGCAGGGGTGATCCAAGTGGCCAGAGATGGCTCCTTGCACCTTCCCTCCACACCTCCCTGTAGGCATTTTACCCTGTTATTTCCCCAGACTCAGCACACTAGCTCATCCTAGCTTGGGGGAATAAAAAAAAAATCCTTATTTCAGTGGGCTCATGAATCCACATTGATTTCTGGAGGGGTCTTTGCTATTCCATAGCCAGGGGACTTCTGTCTGTGCACATGCCTTGTTCCCTGGGATGGGCTGCCACCCCTGGCCCCAGCTGTGGTGCAGCTGGTCAGGCTTTTGCCAGAAGGGCTGAGATTTGGCTGTACAGCAAATCACCTGGCAGCACTCCCTCACTCCTCAGTGGGATAAAGGGGCTAGAGAGCAGCTCCCAACCAGCTCCTCCCTTGAGTGGGGGTCTCAGCAATTAGCCTGACTGGGAGAAGAAACCTTTTAGGGTATGCACTGGCTGCAGATGAGCAGGATGATTCACACCTGCCTGTCTGCAGGATGAGGTGGGTTCCTGGAGCTCTCTGCAGAGCCACACAGTGCACTAACAGCAGGCTTGTGTCTAATAATAATGCTCTGCCAGCAATTAAAAATATAACTCCATTTAAGGGTGAGATACACAGCTTGGGGTAGAGACTGTAGGATGTAAAAAATGACACCAGTGGGTATTTTAAGACAAAGCAGCTGAAGGCACAAGCTGGCTGCACAGCACAGCACAGCACAGATCCCTCCCCCGCGCTCAGTGGCCACTTCTGACCCCTCAGAGGACCAAAGCAAAACCTGACCCGACACTCCCTGTGAGCAGCAGCTGCTGGAGACACTGGGAGGTTTGCCCCATCCTTGGTTTGGGGCCAAAGGGGCAGGTTTTGGGGATGGGAGGCTGGGATTTGCACGGGGCAGAGCTCCCAGTGTCCCACAGAGCCCACCCTGCACCCAGGGACAGCCATCTGTAACTGTGAGCAGATGGGCAAGGCCCCAGTGTTGCTTTAGGAGCTCAGGGGGTTACCAGCTATGCTCTGGAGAAGCTTTAGCAACAAATGGAGCAAATCAATCCTCAGTTCTATTTCCATGTCTGTGACCTTGCTGTAGGCCATCACTCAGACCTGTCTGAGCTCACCTGAGGAAAGGCAGGGGGAGTTTTATGTGATAAAATTGAACAGAGAGGGATAATAGATAATACTGACAGTTACAGAATTCCCTTGGAAAAATGAAGAGCTAATGAAAGAGCAATATACTCAGAGACAAAAAAAGAATTTGCACACAGCCCAAGACAAGTCAGGGCTCCCAGCCAACCTAATTTCAGTGCAACAGCTGAGAGTGTCTTAGAAAGTGGAATGAGTAACTCCAGACTCAGCGTCAACATTTCTGGAAAAGTTCCTCTCCAGCACATTTTGGCTTTAGAGAGGAGCAAGACACTTGTTCAGAGCCTCTCCCTACCAGGCCCATCTGTCCCCTCCTGGCCACAGGCTCAGCCTGCTGCCCTGAACAGCACAGGCATTGGCTTTGCCTCTCCCTCCTGCCTTCTCACCACACTGACAGGGGACATCCCCAGGCTCTCTGTAAATCAGAGGCATTCAAAGGAGAGCAGATCTTAATCCCATGCAGTTCAGCAGGAGGTCAGAGTCTTTGAAAAGCCAATTCCTATTCCCATCACACAGTTTAGAAAATATTAAAAGGCTACTGGAAATTGCAGTATGAAATGCAGTATATACAGTATCTGGGATCAAAATGTACTGCTGATAGCTCTAACTTAAATCAGCAGTTTAAGAGTGCGAGGAATCACAGAATTAAAGACAGAATCTCTGAGTCAATGGGAACCACAGGTGAGGATCCCAGATTTCACACCATGTGTCTGTAACCCCAGACCCTGCTGGGCTCAGTGATGCTCTTGCTGGGGGACTGTGGATACAGGAAAAAAAATAAAACCCAAATAAGCCAGCAAAAAACCCTACCTGGCTTGTTTTTTCCTGCCTTGGAGACACAGACTTCTCCCAGGCAGAAGCTTTTAGGGATAACATTCCCAAATCAGTGGAAGATGCCTGCCCATCCTTTCCTATTGGTTGCCATGGTGAGAGATGACGGAGCCCGAGCTGAGTATAAACGAGGGAGTTCAGGGAAGGGATTCAGCAGAGGCAGAGGGAGGTGAGTGCTGGCAAGGCACCGAGGCCACTCTGTCACCAGATCTGTCACCACCCAGGACCTGGCTGGAGGTAAGTGCTGGCTCTGGGAGGGCTCAGCATGGGCATGTGCAGCCTCGTGTAAGGACTGATTAGCAGTCACTAAATGAGCTTATTCTTGAGTGAATGAAAGGAAAGTTAGTTATTGTTAGAGAGAGAGGAAAAAGGAATTAGTAAACCAGCTCAATTGAATGGAGGGGCTGCTCTGAGCACTCTCTGGGCAGGAGAGAGCCCTGCAGCAAGCCCCAGAGAGCACTTTGGGATCTAAAGGAGGGATGTGCTCAAGTAATTTGTGGCTGTTGCTAAACAGCAACACAGCCCAGAGAGTATCAAAAGACTACAGGACATTGTACCATGAGGATCATCATCTACTACTCACTGGCTCTGGCTCAAATCAGTTTAAATATTTAAATTTGTTAGGCAGGCAGTGTCTTTTTTCTGTCTTTGTTCTTACTATTCATATATTTGTGTTTCCCTAAAGGCACTGCTTTTATATTTCACCAACCTACAGATTTCACATTTAAGATGCTGATATTGCAGTGTGAGATGCTGCAGGAACAGAAAGAGCTTATACTTTATGAAGCAAGGAAGGTACAGAAAATGCAGTGACAATTTGAAACAGTGAATTAACCATCATGGAGCCTTCTAAATGGCATTTAGGTGTAAAATCAAAATATCTGTTGATTGGCAGCTTCACAAGGCAAGCTGGAGCTAGTTTAATCATCCCTTTATGCTAATCACACTTGCAGTATCATTTTTATTTTGTGGGAAACAAAAAGCTAAAATAGCTTTAATAGCTAATAATCATTTTATGTTAATCACATTTGCAGTATCATTTTTATTTTGTGGGAATCAAAAAGCTAAAATAGCTTCTGATATAGACAAGCAGCCACAGAGATTTTATAAGAAATACAACTGGAGCAAAAAGTATACCCTGTGCTCCAGCTGGATGTTTTTGTTATGAAGCAGAGTGGTACAGTAGTCTGGGCAACAGCAGGATTTGTCTTTTGTAATTTTAGCATGTAACCTTAGTGAGGCAGGATAGTTTTGAGTCAAATCTAAGGAAGAGAAAGGAAAGACTTTATGGATGTCAGCATCCTTTGAGCTCTGACACGAATCAGAAACCTGAGCCTCTCCCTGCCTGTGGTTTCAGGGGCACGATGAACATCGAGGTGCACAACATCACCTACACCAGTGCCACGGTGTCCTGGGCCATGAGCAGCCCCTGCCCAGAGAACTACTACCACGTCATGTACCGCCCCAACTGGAACAGCGTCTTCGCCGGCTACCTGCGGCAGAACTTCCACCGCGAGGAGCGCGTGCCGCACCCGCTCAGCTCCCTGGTGCTGCACCGCCTCACGCCCTCCACCATCTACGTGCTCTGCATCACCTGCAAGAACTCCTACCCCTCCAGCAACCACTGCACCACCTTCCACACGCTGGACAAAATCCCCCTGGTTTTCGGCGGCTCCAAGCACGAGCCCACCACGTCCATGTGGATGGTGAGCAGCCTCCTGCTCCTCTGCTTCCTCGCCCTGCTGGCCTACGGCTGCCTGCAGTTCTGGTCTGCTCGCTGCCACTGGGCTGCCAGGCTGAAGCACCCCGACTGCGGCTCTGAAGAAGTGGGGGAAGGAAGTGGCTCACCAGAGGAGCCACTGGGTGATGGACTGAGAGAGGAGCTGCTGGAAGTGCCCATGACCACTGTGCTGATGAGGAGCTCCAGTTTTGTGAAGGAGAGCCCGTATAACTCCCCTCACTGCTTTTTCTCCTATAAAAGCAGCGATGATAAAAGGGCCATCCTGCCACAGCATGGCCTTCAATGAAAGCAAAAGGAAACAAAATCTTGCTTAGAGGTTTGGTTTGTCCTGCTCTTCCCCAGCTCTTGCCAAGAGGACTGTCTGTGTGTCCATGGCAGCTGTCTGTCCCAGGGTAGAACACGAGGCATAGACATTGGTCACAGGGAGAAAGATTTTTGTCAAGTGGCAAAAATGCTCTCATTTACTGAGGATTTTTAAAAAAGAAACCAAGTCAGTTCTCTGGGAACAGCCAAGCTTGGCAGACTGTAGTGTCATTAGCTCATGTGCATCAGTGCTGTAGGTTCACCTCAGAGTCATCAATCAATGTGCATAAGAAATAAACTCCACTCAAGTAGTTTCTCACTTGAGTGCCCCTCCACTAGCATCACAGCCCAAGCCTTTGTAATGCCTGCATAAACAGTCATTGCAGCCTGAGAAAAAAGCTTTTTGTCAGTATTAAGTAGTGCACACACAAGTATTTTAGTAATTCCCATTCTGAACAGAAAATGGGATTCCTGAAGTGGTACCTTCCTTGGGGAGCATCACTGCATCAGAGCACCAACTTGCTCACTTGCCTGTGCATTTAGATGGATTTGATTCAGTTTCAGTGCCAACACCAAGCAAGAGCAGTGCTGACACCCCTTAACATGGGCATTTTATGGAGAAGAATAAGGAAAAACAACAGCAACAGCACATGAATCTGTTTCTTGCATGTCTGTTTGTTTGCACACAGCGATGTGACCCTGCTCATTCACACCCACCACTCTGTAAATGAACCAGTCCTTGCGTTTATTTCTCTTCCTAAATAAATATTTCCAACACCCACCCCTCTGGCTGTTGTGGCTCATTTACTGACCTTGGACCCGTAGAGGTAATAGGGCTGGACGTTGGCTGGCTTGTCCCGCTGGGGCTCCTGTGTGAAGGGGATGGCTGTCCTCACAAACCTGCAGCAGGCACGGGAGATGGGGAGGGAAGTGGTCAGAGGCTGGATAACTGACACTGCATGGTCTGGGATGACCTGCAGTTGCAGGCTAGTTAGAATTCATCACTTGAGCTACAACAACAGGAATGAAAAATCCTGCCACAATCTTAAAACTTACCAAAACAGAGATTTCTTCTCATTTTTGGCAGGCAAGAAAACAGTATCTGAGCAGCCACCAGAACTCTCCTTCTGAGCAAACCAACCCTCAGCCACTTAATTTACTGTCTAACTACTGTTTGAATTTGTTACTAATATTTTCAAGACCAAAGGAAGATGGTGGGTTTCAAACTCATTTTAAGAGCAACTGCTGCATCCCACAGGGAGCACAAACCTCTCCACAATGCACATCAATTTTAAGTGGCAGGTTTGACGTTGTGGAAAGCAAAGCAGGGTCTCCAGGTGGCCTTGCTGTCCCTCCTCACCTGTTGGTGGATCCGTTGTAGCAGTAGTTGGGCAGGAAGTCGAAGTTGAGCTCCCAGAAGACGTGCAGGGTGATGCGCCCATAGGGCGCGGACACGTTGTGGTTGGCCTCGCGGAACATGGCATCGAAGCTGTCCAGGGTCATGTGCTTGCACAGCAGCCTGTGCGTCAGGCGATTGATTTCCAAGAGCCACTCCAGCTCCTGCAGCACATAAAGCAGCAGAAAATGCAACAGAAACAGCTGATTTAATTGCCAGGGGAATGGTTTTTTATCCACACGCGCGCAGAACTAAATACATCAATTTAACTCAGCAGCCAAGGCCAATTGCACTTCCACCCAAGGGGGTCCTGGTCCAGTGTTTTGTGAAGCTGCAGGAAGTAAAATTAATTTGTGCCCCACTGAGCACTGGCTGGCTTTCACCTCAGAATCCTCCAAAGGTGGAAACTGGTAATTTTACACTACTTGACTCTGATGTTCCTGTATCATATCAAAGACAGCAAATCCTGTACACACATGAACAATGTCACAGCCACCTTCATCCAGCTGGGAATTAAAGCAATATTTCCTTCCCCCAGTTTACAGGACTCTCTTCTATGAGCTCTGCAAAGTCTAACTGCTGTCACTTTATGATTTACACAGATACTTAATGGTCTGATAATAATGCAATTAAAGCTCCATAAACAGAAACAGTAAGGACTCAGCAGCATAAAGGAAGATACATGACTGGTTGAAACCCACTGCAGGGGAACTCAAAACAGCACACAGTTGACTGTGCATCCCCAGCAGTGTATTAGTCTCCCTGCTCATCCTCAGAGTCAATAGAAGTTCTTACCACGATGGACGTCAGGTCCTCGCTCTCAAAGCGGCTGATGGCCTGGTCCAATGATTTGTACATGGCTGCAGAGATGCGCTGGGTAATGAGCCTGTTCAGGTCAATTGATCTGCCCAGCAGCTGGCAAAAGAAAAGATTTCCATGTTATATACTGATGGGGACAAGGTATTTCATTTTTTACTCCACACACAAATTAAAACCAAACCTCAAAGTCTGCTTAAACGTGAAAGTGGTGGCACAAGTAGATTACTTAAGAAGGAATGAGGGAAATGTGGAACATAACTCATTTTTGTGTCACGATGAGTACTGGAGCCTGCTGCTTGCACTGTACCTGGACGTGCCTCTGCTTGAGCAGCGTTTCGTAGCGGTTGGAGGGGGGGTATGGGATGATCACCCCGTAATTCTTGCACTCAGCCCGGAAACGTTTGTCCAGTAAAACACTGAAAAAGGGAAGCAGTGTCAGGAAAATAGAAATGTACACTATCAGCTTCTTTATGAGTCTTTCCAGAGTTGTTTCAGCCCTTTTAATCTTGGCTCTGAATTGCAAGAAATCTCTGCACACTAAATCACAGAGCAGGAGTTGTTTTCTGGGGACTTTCCTGCTTGTCTTTTGTGGCTAAAACATCCAAAAATATATAAAAATGTGCTGAAAGATAACAGTGCCAGGTACTGGGTGCTTCCCCTGGTGTGCTCCCTCCTTGAAGATCTGCTGTGGGAACATTTGGTTGGTGATGGTGATTGTACTCCTTCTCTAAGGCCAAATGTGACCTAGAGACAGAACTTGCTGTCACATGGAAGAACTTGGTTCACCTCTGGGGCCACGAGAACAAGACTCTCACTAGATTTCATCCATGCCCTTTAAATTGGTAAGGAGGATATGCCACAAAGGTTCTATCTCATCTCCCCAAAGGGAGAACAAGTCCTGCTGCTTTACTAGGGTGAGGACAAGTGCATATTCCTGTTTTGTAGAGATGGGAGGCTTCCAGTCCTCTGCCTGGTACAGAAACAGAAGTCAAGCAAGGACATGCCTGTAATAAGCTCAGTTTGCTTTTCTGAAGCTCTCACAAACTGTACTCTGACTGCTGCTCCGGATGCCAATTATTATTTTTTCACTTTTAACTGTGTCTCCTTAATTAATTTTCCCCATCTACATTGGTCTGACGTGGACAGCCAGCTCTGGGGGACAGGGATGATCTATGTTGTGTCTTCTTGCGGTGGCTGCTCCCTGAGGGAAATCTTTTGGTTAACAGCAATTTGGATGCAGCGATATCATCAGTCACCATCAGCAGTCAGGCTCTCCTACCTGCCAGCCATCGCTTTGTAATAGGCAAAGATCTGATCTGCCAGCTTGTACACAAATTGATCAAAGCACAAATTCACCTGGGGGAGAAAAAACAAGACTTGGTGAGGGTGTCACCAGCACAGAGCAGCTCCTTCCTACGCATGCAAGATCAATACAACCCAACAGAGATCCTTCATTTAATACAAATATATATTAAAGGTCACACCATCTTAAAAAACCACACTGCACTTCTCACATTGCTGAAGGTAAGCAGAAAATGGCAGTTACATTTCTCTCTTTATAGTTTCTGCATGTTCTTACAGGTCCTGGTCCCCCACCCTCAATCACCCTTCCCTCTCAGGGAATTTCTTGTTTTCCTCTGATGTCTCAAACCCTCTGCTCATCAGACTCTGCCATGTCCTCAGTGTTTGACAGCTTTTGGCTTCCATGGTTCCCTACAGGTACAGCTGAGCTGAAGCCATTAATCAGGAGAGTCTGTAGGGTCTCTGGAAATGCTAATCTTCTTGAAAACTTCTCAGTCTGATGGAATATTTCTTTCAGGAGAAAGGTGCCTATAATGAATTGCTGGGTCAATCAGGGCAGTGTGACTCCTGTGAGCTTTTTTCATACAACAAAGATGAAGAGAACTTACTTCAGCTTCTATTTCATCATACAGGAACTGCTTTTTGAACTTGGTCAAAGCATAGTATGCACTGTCATTGTAGAGGTCCAGGGGGTACAGCACATACCTGAGGGCAAGAACACAGACCACATCTAAAATGAGCTTTGGAGCTTATCAGCATGAACTGCAGCCAGTCCACGTCATGCACTGCCTGGTGTAAAAAAAATGGCTTTTCTCTGACTTCATGCCTATCACTGCCACCCCCTGCAGCCCCTCAAATAATCCATCTTTATCCCTGGGTTCTGCAGGAAGCAGTCCCAACCAACCTGGAAGTGAGCTAATTATGAGCTGTTCAATCAACACTTGCTTCTTCTCTGCCCTTAAAAAAGCTTTCACCCTGCCCTCACTCCAGAGAGTGCTCTGACAATGTCCATTCAACCAAGTTTTCCTAACAAGGAAAACATTATGAAGATGATGACACTTGCAGAGCAGCAATTCCTCGTATCATTTATCCCACATACAAAAAGAAGTTGAGGTGGCTTAGCCTGGGCCCACCCCCTTTGGTGACACATCTGTTTCACTGCTGCATGCAGGTGACAGTGCCACCCTGTCCTGCCCACATCCCAACAGTTGCCAGCTGCTGTTTATGACACATGAAGAGGTGCCAGTGCCAAGAAGTCGCCCCTGTGTCTGCCAACGAGGTGCTCACACAGCACCACTCATGTGACAGCAGAGCAAGGAACATCCATTTACCTCCCACACCAAAACACTGCTCATCACCAGCCTCCCCTTCTTCCTGAACAAAACCCCAAACCCCAGCACGTGCACGGTCCCAGCAGAGCCCACCAGCCCTTACTCCATCATGGAGGGTTCTTTGGTTTCCAGAATATGGTCTGTGAGGATCCAGGGCATGGACATCTCGATGGGGAACTGGATGCGGCGGCCCATGGTCAGCTCCAAGAAGAACTCCCTGAACCACAGCTGGGACAGGTCACAGCACTGCTGCAGAGCCTCTGGAAAGCACAGAGGACCCATGTCACCCCCTGGGGATGGCAGTGAGGGCATGGCACAGGAGGCAGCTGCTGCAGCCATCTCCATGACAGACCCAATACTGGCCAGGGGCAATTTAAAGGCCAGATTAAGGGACGTGGGGACCCTTAATCCCTTAACATGGGTCACATGGCTTTTGGGCACAGGACATTTTTCTAGGACGTCTCTGGTTTTAAACCCAGACCACGTCCATGCTGCCTGAGCACTTGGTAATGCAAGAAGAAGGAAGGGATCACCCCTTTTGCTCTAGAGGGCCACAGTGAGAACGTTGGAATGGCTCAGAGTTATTCTGGAAGACTTCTTCTGTGTCCAGTGGCTCACTTTGTCTGGGACAGAAGGAAAGTCCACTCCTAGAAAATAATCGCCCACCTGCAGCTATTTGCTCTTGCTGACAGCCCTGTTCACATAATGAGTACTACACAGAAGCATGCCCAAACCAGGCAGAAGTAGGATATTTGGGAAAAATCAAGGAAAATCTTCTGCTTAGGTCAATGAGGAGCAAAGCTGATGTGCTTTTGCCTTTCTGAGCATGCAAGGGCTGGGTTCAAGCCTCCCCCTGACATAAACTCACCACTGATGTTGAGAAGGTGGGTGAAGAAGAAGGACTGCTTGTGGAACTCCTCAATGGCCAAGACTATTGGCCCATCCAAGCTGCTCCTCAGAGTCTTCTTTGAGCCACTCTTGTCTGCTATGAGGGACTCCAGCATGGTCCTCACCATGTAAAGCTTTGGAAAAAAGGTGACATGCAGTTACCACTCTCCAGACACCACCACACACGGCCTTGGTGTTCTGGGAACAAAAAGTAACACTTCTCCAAGGTGGTGACCACCCTCTGCACACATATGCCAACATCCTTCAGAGTCAGAGATAATTAAACCCATGAAAGAAGAGGCTTTGGGAATTATACAACAAATTAGGCATCAAAGCAACATTTAACACACAACAGCATGAAGACTTTGTGGAACAGAGCATGGAAACAGCTGCTAACCCGCAGGGTGGGAGACTCCTACATGGCTCTAAGACCATTAATTCCCCACACAGGAGACAGACATTGACATACCTGTGTGCTCGATGGTCCTACTGCTCGTCGTGGGACTTTAATATCAAATCCACCTTTGGGATCCTTCTCCCCTCTCAGGCAAGGATCATTTGGAGGCTCCCGACCTCCCTCCCAGTCACAGATGGTCTTCCGAATCGCCTGAAGGACACTGGGGTGGGGGAGAGGGAGAGCAGGGCTTAAATTTGATTTTACTTCAAGATGAAAATACCTGGGGCTGTGCACATATGAGAGGAAAGGTGGGATCATACACAGCTGGCATTGCCGGGATGATGCCCAAAAGTTATCTCTGGAGGAGCTCCTGGCTAAAAGAACTGCTGGCTGCTTGTGTACTGGAGCATACACGGGGCTTGTGTATTATTACAAAGTGTAACAACACTAATCAACATATGGAATTTGCACTGCATTGAGGGACAACTGACCTGATCAGAACATTCTTCTTCTTCCTGACAGCCTGTCGCAGAGGCTCCCTCAGGGTCACCTGGGCGAAGTCCTGCAGGGCTGCATAGATGGTGTTGCGGATGGCCTGGTTGAAGACGCTCTCCATCCGCCCCATCAGCACCTGCAGGCCTTTGATCATGGCAATCACCTGAAGGAAAAGTTAAACCCAGATGTAAATGCTGATTTTCCATTGTGTGAAGAGGGCTATAAATCCAGCATGGAGAGAATTCAGGACTGAATTAACTCTACTCAGCTAACACAAGCCCAGTGATCAAGCAGCTAATTTTTGGGTGTTAGCTGTTTTACAGGTCACAAGAAGCTGAGGAAAGCATTTATACCATCAGTTTCTTGCCAATGGCCCCTATCCCTTGTTTTTACCCCTGATCTCTTGGTATCTTTAATGCCACACAATCCCAGGAAACTGCACATGCTCCATGTGTGGGTGCAGCCTGCCCTGCCCAACAGCACAGTGGAGGAAGCCATAATACAACATCCAAACCACCCCGGACTGTGTAAGGCAGGAGGAAGGTGAGAGCCTCCCAGAGCCTGGCTCAGAGGACTGTTCCCACTGTTTACAGCCAGCCAGGATGAGAGTTGATGTGTCCTGGGGACTGGCTGAGCATCTCTTGTGTTTGCACAGCTCCTGGATGCAGCTGCTGCTCTTGCTCCAGATCACACTGCTCTGCAAGCCCCCTGTTCTGGTTTGTGTGGCAACATCTTGGGAGCAGGAAGCTACAGGGGTGACTTCTAGAAGCAGCTTCTCATGTTCCCCCCCACGTCTGACAAAACCAACATCAGCTGGCTCCATGACAGACCCAACACTGGCCAGGGGCAATTTACTGGCCAGATTAAGTGATGTGGGAGCCCTTAATTCCTTAACATGGGTCACATGGCAGAGTATGGTGAGAACACCCTTCCAATTCTCTTTCCCTGGCCTGAGGAACAGGGACAGGAAATCAGCCTGGACTGGTTCTGACTCTTGAGCAAGAGGCACCTACTTCCACAAAGGCAAACTTCTCCTCACTGGTGTAGTTGTACCGGGTGGCTCTCTCATACTCTTCAGCTGTTCCTGGGCAATCCTTGTTGCAGAATTTATCTGTGGGATGAACCAGCTTCCAAGAGTACTAGAAGATGGAAAGAGACCATGTCAACATTGCAATGAGGAAGAAGATAGGCTAGAAAGATTGAATTAGGTTGTATGCCAAAAAACCATTCTATAGACATCACTGCAGCTTGACATTCTTGGCTTTATTAGCAATTAATTAATTGGTTTTCTTTATCTGGGAGGCTGCCAGTCATACCAGGCCTTTGACATTCATGGATTTGTGTTGAGATGTAGTGAAAACTTTGCAAATTAAGAATATCCATCATCATTTGAATTACAGTTTTAGTTGCTCCCAGACTCATCCCAAATGCTTTCAGTGATGCAGGGGTGCACTCACCACTTCCATGACATGGGCACTCCACTTGGAGAGCAGCTGCAGCCCCCGTAGAGCCAGGTCAAAGAGCTCCCTGTACTCCTCATCCGACTTCTGGCTGTCCAGGCCGGAGCCAGTGACCACCTGCAAGAAATCACATCATGCTACAATCAGCAACTTGCTGCAGGGGCTTCACTCAGTCAACAGATTTCTCTCCCACATCCCACCTGAAATGAATTCCTGACCTTATGACCAAGCTAGAATTGAGTAAAGCATCTACTATCCCTAAGGAAAAAAGACCTTGGAAGGCTCTTTTTACACAGCCAGTCAAATTATTCCCTACAAAAAAAATTAGTCTGACCTGTCATCTCTGACCAAATAATGGACTGTTTTTATTCCACTTTCCCATTCATTTTCAATGGTCTAATACTACTGAAATCCTTGAGAATCCTTTACTGATTAAAGCTCAAAGAAGCTCTTACAAATGCCAAAAAAGCAGCGCCTGAGAATGCTACAATTTGTTAAACTGACACTGATGAATGAGGATCACACATGCAGAAAACAGTCCCAATGGCACCAGAGAGGGCACTGGCATTCAGTAATGAAGAGAACAGAGATGCCTTCGTGAACTTTCCTCAAAGCCCTGACTGACAGGCCTGTGTAATTGAAAAGCCCAATTTGCAAGTCATTGGTGTTCTGACTTTTGCCTGATTACAAACATTTAGTTGCCAGGTTTTTCTTTTTTTCTGCTTATTTTAACAAAGTTGTGGTCAAGGAGCAGAAGCTGTTGCTGTAGATCTCCTGGTGCACACTATTTTGTACCTTTCATAAACTGCTTTTTTATTGCTGTATCAAGAGAAGCTTGTTCCACCCATGTCCTTCACCCCTCCTCGCTGTACATCTGTGAAAGACCATGGTCCTGCCACATTGCTGTGTTCCAGGCTTGTCCACTACTGGATTCTTTGTTTCTTTTTGCCAAGGTCGGAATTAAATGTGTGAGACAGTATTTCTTGTTAGGACTCAGATGTTTTTTAGTTCTTATCTCTTTACAGTCTCACAAACCCTGAGTTCTACAGCACTTCACTCTAACAAGCTAAAAATGGAAATGTATCTCTCTTTCTACAAGGCTCTTTAAGAATAAACTGTCCAATTAAGAAATGACACCTAAATTATTTTTACTTTTAACCCAACAGCCAACCCCCCGTGCCCTCAATGTAGACTCTTCTATCCAATTACACAAAACCACCCAAACCTATGGAAAAGAAGGTGAAGAAGGTGAAGAAGAAGAAGGTGAAGAAGAGGAAGGTAAAAAGACCAGCCTCCACCCTAAAACCTCCATCTTGCTTTATATATTACTATATTCTAAACCCTTAAACTCTAAGTACTATATTCTAAACCCTTAAACTCTAAGTTTTCCACCATGTGGTAGCACACACTTCCATTCAAACTCCACACCCACAATCACAGTTCTATTGCTCCATTTTGGAAGCCTTCTCCATGGCCTCAGGTCAAATGCAGTGTTCTCCTGGGGGACAGTGCCTTTTAGCACAGAAAGTCTGAAATTCTGCCCAGCCAGGTTCCAACAGTGCCCCAGCCCTCCTGCAGGCGCAGCTGGACCCACCTCGCTGTTGCTGTAGCGCGCGAGCTCCGAGATGAAGCGGATGTGGTCGTCTCGGATCTGCACCATCTGCTCACAGATGTTGTATTGGGGGCTGATGCTGCTCTGAGTGCACGTCCACCTGGGCAAAAAGAGCAACAGTGTCAAGGACAGGACACAGCTTGCACTCAGACAGCCCAGGGACAGCTGCTCTCTGTGCTTCAACGTGCTCCAGGCACGCCACCCTCATGGCGAATGTCAGCCCTGTTGTGTTCTCTGGTGTGTGGGGTGTCCAGAGGTGGTCTCACACAGCAGGATGGGGACACTGGCCTCACCTCTCAGCCTGAATGTGTCTGCTCCATCCACCCTGAAGGCTGCTCTCCATGTGGGCTCACCTACCCCAAGGGCGGAGGTGGCAATCTCCCAGGCCACTATGAGACAAACTTTCAGGGAAGGATGGACTTCAAAGGCCTGCATTGTTTGCATCCTTTCTGCTAAACCTAAGAATAACCATCCCCTTAGAGGTTCTCCCTCCAGGTCTGGGTTGTGCTGCCTTCTCCTGCAAAGAAAAACTCTGCAAAGAGCTAGCCCTCCCATTGTTTTTGGTTCTGGCTCATGCTGCCAGCTCAGTGAACAACCCTGAGTACAAACGATGCACAGAATTAGATTTTCATTGAATTTATCCATATGTACCATGTGTGTAATGTTATCCTAAAAAAAGGCAGCCAAAGGCACAGTTGTATGAAGGAATGGGACAAACCAGGTCTATTTAATTTAACATCTCCTTCCTCCCTGTAATGTATTAGCCCCAGATATAGAATCAGAATGGCTCCACCAAAATGTTTTGTGCAACCAGTTGTCTACAGTGAGATTCTTATGTCTCACTCTGTCATCACAATGTAGGAGTTCAGATTATACTTTTTTTCCACCTTATGGTAATCCTGTTCTCCAATTTAGACAGCCCATACAAAATGAAGGTGAGAAACCTGTCCCTGATATGGACATACACATATCCCTACACTTAACTGCACTCGTTGCCAGTATTTGGGGTGGTAGAAAGTCCTGGAAATGCTGGGCCACATCATCCCTTGTGAAATCCATCCTCCCCCAGTCCCCAGTTTGGCTCTTACCCGTTTCCATGTGCTGCCCACTGGGCAATGGGCAGGGTAGCAGGATTGGCCAGGGCTGCCCCAGCCCTCCCTGCCACACACAACCTACTCCACAGTGCAGAGACAAAGCGCCATGCGGGAAAAACACCAATTAATTCCACTTGCACGGAGACAAGGAAGGAGAGAAAGTGACAAAAACAATGTTAGTAAGAAATGGGGATTACATGGAAGCACCTTGGCAGAGTTAGAACTGGGGGTCCCATGCAGTTTGCTGGGAAGGCAAGGGAGTGAGGAAGAAACATTAGTTAGTACAGCACGGCACACAGACCTGGTGAGACAGATTTCAAAGACAGACAATAAAATTGTGCACAGGTAAAACAGCCCATGAGCTACCTCGGTTTTGAGATGAGAAAATGAGGAATGCTGCTGATATATGTTTCGTTGAAATGTGCTTTCTGAATGATTTGGGATAAAAAGGAGCAAATCTTCAGAAAATTTTTCTCGTTTTTAAAAGAGTTTTCAATACTCTTTCTTTCAAGAGTATTTTTTAAATTCACATTACACAGAATCATAATTTTTTTCCTCTTCTTTTTCTCTCCCCCCCAATTTTAATAGAAAACTTTTTGCCATGTTGTTTTCAAAGCTGTCCTGAACAATTAAAGGGCACTTTTCAACCAGTTTTTGGGAGGGCAGGGGAGGAGGGCTGCTCCTGGCAGCAGAGAAGCCAGACCCTCCGGGGTGGAAGGGGACAGCAAACAGAAGCCATGACACTGCAGGTTAGTTCCTGTCCTGCTGGAGAGACAGCCCAGCCTGGCTGCTCCTCAGAGACACCAGAGAAACCAGATTTCCACCCAAGACAGTCCCACAGGTGGAAGGCCACTGCCTGCCACCCACACTACAGCCAGGCTCAGCTCAGACAGGCTGTGCTCACAAGGGTTGCAAGCCTTATTCCAAGGATATCCAAACCTAACAACGACTCTCCTGGCAATCACTGAGTGTGATGCAAAGCTACAAACACCAGTGGGGCCTCTCACGTGCCTGCTGTGACTGAAACAACATCTGGGGATTCATCTGATGGAGCAGCAAACTGCCCGTGAGCCCAGGCTGCTCCTGAGCTCTCCACTCCTGCTCTTCTCCCACAATATTCAGAATCATATAATCATTAAGGTTGGAAAAGATCATCAAGATCAAATCCAGTCTTTGAGTGATCACCACCCTGTCAACTAAACCAGAGCATGGAGTGCCACATCCAGTTGTTAGTGCCACATTCAGTCTTTTCCAGTTCATTAATTTCCAGAGCATCTGAGCCTCTGATTCAAACCTTATGGCTGCCATCCTTCTTCATGAGCCCTGCCTGAGCTAGAGGAGACACCCTGGCTACTGCAGAGGTTTAGTGCTGAGTTCATGCTCTGGAGGATTTTGTCCTTGGGGTGCAAAGTGTGGATTAAAATCTCCCCAGAGCAGGGACAGAGCTCACACTCACACAGCTCGCACGCACCCGGCGCTGCCCCAGCCACCCTTCCTTCCTCCTGCCTCCCTGCCAGCCCTCCCAGCCCTGCCTGCTCCCAGGGATGGCTACACAGAGCTGGCTGCACGCCCAGGGCCATGGGAGGACATCTCCCCATGCAGGGACAGCGAGGGACACGCGGGCACACAGAGCTGGCACGCCGGACTCACGCCCCACAGGGACACACACACGGGCACAGGCCTGGCACACCTGCAGGGCTGCAGCCCCCACGGCCCTCAGGACACACACAGAAGCCAAGAGACATTATGGCAGGCACTCACTTGGATTTGTTCTCCTCATAGTGAGCACTGGTCTTAATGTATCTGGCCAGTTCTATCTGCATATCGCCGAATAAAGGAACCACCTGCAGCTGCTGGAAAAGAAAACAAAAGATGGTTGAAACACGGCAGAGAGAGAGAGAGAGAAAGAGAGAGAGAGAGAGAGCCTGGCCCCAGCACAACACAAGGGACTCCAAAAAGGCATGCTGCACCTCTGAAGCTTTGCAAAGTGCAGACCTGGACCCAGGGTCATTTCACAGCTAGGAAATGACTGAGAATGATCACAAGGCTTTCTGTGGGAGGAAATCACTCCCTGTGCGTGCTCTGGAGCCCTGGGCTCACTGCCACCAGGCTGGTTATGGCCAGAAAGGTTCAGTGCTGTAACCAGCCAGAGAAAAGGATGTTTTTACAACAAAAAGAGAGAAGTGTGGTCCTGAGCAGGCCTGACTGTCTCCCAGCCTAATCCTCCAAGAGAACACAGGGATGAAAAGCCAGCATGTTGCTATTCTGGACACCCAGGAAGGTGTCAGCTTTCCCCAGGGACTCAGCACTATCAGGTGTCTTAAAACTTCTCCATGAAGAGAAAGACACAGGCAATGTAACATGGCTCTGCTTGCCCTTCACATCTCAGAGGGTTTGGGATGGGATAAATTCCAAGTGCTCTGAAGATATCTCAAGCTCAGACAGGTCCCTCCTTCACTAAACTTCCACCTGCAAGCAAAATCCAACCAAGGGCTACTGACAGCTCATCAATAAAATACGAAGCTTCAACTTCACCCAGCCACAAAAGCCTTGCCCCAAAATTCAGGGAAGATGGGGAAAAATTCCCTGTCCTGTTATCACACACTTCTCTGCTCAGGCTGAGCTGTGCAGGATGTATACTGCTGTCATCAAGGATTCCCACTGGCACTTCCATGAAAGGTTTAAATGAAGGGGTAGTTCATTTTCACCACTCAAATTCCTGGGCAATCCACTAGAAATTTAATCTGAAGGCAACAAGCAGATATAGTGAAGAAGAAGTTGGTCTTTCCTTATTGAGATCTGATAGTTTGGAGTGGTACTTTTCAGGAGATGTTGGAGAAGTGCAAATGGAAACCAAGCTGGAAAGGAGAAAGTTACCCCATGCAATGGAAGGTTTTTTACCTCATTCTCTGATGGCCCCCAGCACTTTGCAATGAACAGCAAACCTGTCTGAATGCACCAAGATGACCAAACTCTACAGATTACACTGAAAGATTGATGTAGAGATTTAGCTGAATTAGCAAAGCTGAATCAGGGAAAACCCAGAAAACTCCAAAGAATGATGTGATAAATCATATTTGCAGAGTAGTCTCCTCAGTGATGGGAGGTTTTTTAAACAACTCATTATCCCCCTGTCCATAAGGTTCTGGTGTCTGTGGCCCCCTGCTCTTGGGGCTGTCCCCAGGAAATGGTGCAAATTGGGGTAAACAGGTCCCCACCAGCTCAGGGGAGGATGGACATCAACTTTCCATCAAGCCTGGGCTCACCTCTTCCCTCCCCTGCACACACCCAGCACATCACCACAAAGTGAACCTCAGGGCAATGAGCAGGGAGACATCCTTTATCCAACACCACCACCAACCTCCTCATCCAGGCTCCTCACCCCACCTCTGGGGGCAGTACCAGGGAGAATCCACTGTGCTGAAGAGTGAGGGGAAGGAGCCCTCTGTGCCCTTCCACAAATCATCACCTTCTCATTTTCCCTCATCTGGAGCAAGTCTTGGTAACAGAAACTAATCTTTCCATCTCAGGGAAAGATTAATAAAGGACTCAGGAAGGACTCGGGAAGGACTTGGGAAGGACTCAGGAAGGACTCCATCTGGGAAATTCTTCTGCTGTCCTCCTGCTCCTTGCCACCAACTCATTTGTCTTTTGCTAGATCCCCCCATACCTCCTACAGCTGACCTGCTCCAAACCCAAAATGCCTCCCAGTCCCAGAAGCAGTGGAAAGGAGGCACCACCCTCCCTGAGGTGCTGTGTGGGCTCTCAGCCTCCTCTCCACCAACAGGGTTATCCCAAACCTTTCCTGTGCTCAGGAATGAAGGGCAGCGCAGCCTGGCCTCCAGCTGTGGATCAGACCATGGCCAGATGTGCTCCAGCAGAGAGAGGTTGTGTGGCTGTTCCCACCCTGCCCCTGGGAACACCCAGGCTTCATGGGCCTTTCCCCAAAATCCACATCTCAGACCAGACAAAAATGGTTCATCAAGCCAGAGTGACCCTTTGAAGATCTATCTCACTGGGCACCTCCAAATCCCAGTTCACACAACTTCCCCAAAAGCTTTTCCTGTGCTACAGGGAGCAGTTTATACATGAAATAAAACTGTCAGATGTGTCCTCTGTCCCTCAGCCCAGCAGCTTGCAGAGGGAAAGAGAAGCAGAACCATCACCCACACAGACCTCAGCAAACCAGCCGGGTTTGCTGCTGGCCTGAAACCACTGCAAACCTGCCTCAGGAGTGTGCAAAGAGCCAGCAGCAATATCAGCTGGGCACATCCTCCCCTCAGCCATGGAGCAGCCTCTCCATCCTCTGGGCCCTGGCAGGGAGCAGCCAGAGCTGCAGCTCCCACTGCAGAACCAGCTCTCACCCACAGCCCTGCAGCACTGAGGGGCAGCCCTGCTCCCCTCACCCTGCTGCAATTCCACCCCTCAGCCTTTGGCCTGGACAGCTTCTCAACCCTTGGGTTTTCTGGACCTGTAAATGATTCCTGTAAATGATTCCTGTGGTTTGGTTTTTGCCAGCAGCAGTGGTACAGGCTGTTAATCCACTGGTCTGCAATAAACACCAGCCTCACACAGACAGCTCACTGACCTTGAAGAATTTGTCTATTTTGCTAAGGTTGATTCTCTTCTTGGCATCCAACTTGTAAATGTTGCTGACGTTCCCATCCATGAGATACAGGCCAAACCCCATCACCTGGAGAAGATGGAAAGGCAAGGTTTCATCAGCATGAAGTCAGCAGCCCAAGTCAAAGACAGTTCTCCATCACTCAGCATGAGGAAAGACCATTTCAGGTTCCTGCTACCACCTGATCCTCATGAGGAAATGTTTAAAATGAGCCTGTATCTGCCAGGAGGCACATGGCAGGCAGAGGACACACAATGGACTGCTTCTGTTGTCTGTGCAAAAACACAGGATGCTTCCCTTGCTTATTTGTTCCTCCTCTCCCCACGTAACAACAACCCAAAAGTTTTCTCCCCCTGCTTACTTCTTGAGAAGAATTTAAGATATTTTCCTGGATTGATTTCCCCCCCCTTCATTAATTCAGTACAAATCATTACAGAGAGTCAAACTCCCCACACATCAGAGAACCTGAGCTGACTCACACCATTATAATGAAGTTTTTATGGTAATAGTGACTACAATCATTGCCAATAACTGACTGACAGCAAGGACAAATACACCAAATAAAGAGATATTTTGGCATGTTTATCTTGAGGACTCTTTACAGCCAGAAAAACAAACCTGGGAGCATCTGCCTTCTGCAGGGAATTATTGCTGGGAATGGGCACCAAGAAAATTCTGGGTTACAAAGTTGGTGGTGATTTTACAATGTCCTCTGCAGTTACACAGGCCAAGCCCATGATCCTGCACTTCTATGCACAACAGAAAAACCCCTTCCAGCCTTGGAGGATGTAGGGCACCCATCAGTGCTCTCACCCACCATGTGCTGGGCACTGTCTCTGCAGAAAAGGGATGCATGTCAGCCCAAAGGAGCAAAAAATCAAGAAATTGAAGAGAGATGTTGTCCTAGGAGTGAATTTCATTTTACTAAAACAACAGTGAACCCATGCAAGCACCCAGCCCCACAAGCATGGCCCAACCTCACCTTTAGGAGCATGTGCTTCTCACTGGGGGTGAGATACATCTTGTTTTCATAGTAATCCACACAGATGTTGACAATATCAGCCAGCAACTCCTCATAGCCAGGGATAACCTCCAGTTGTTGGTGCAGACACTGAAACACAACAGAAGCCACATTATCCACATGGGCAGAGGAACACCAGAAACCAGGCAGGAAACATTTTAAGGATTAAGAGTGGAACAATAAGAGGTTCCTTCAAACCCCATTTATGCTTTTCTTAAGTTTACCAGCAGAAGACTGAGCTTATGGTACTACCCAGAAAAAACAACCTTCCTCTGCAGGACAACTCTTCTTCAGACCAATCACAACACCCAAACATCAGACAGTGAGATGCAAAGGAGGGTGACTCTGAGCACAGTGTCTGACTCCTGTCTCTGTGCAATATTTTAACTAGTTAGCAGAAGCAATGTGAAGTGTGGAGAGCCATGGGGGCTGAGCTGCAGACCCCATGCAGCTGCAGAGGATGGAGTTGTGGCAGAACCTTCACCTCCCAGAGCTCTTCTTACATCTTCTAGACCTTGATCTTTGTCTTAACACAGAGACCTTCAAAGCCACCCAGGATGACACATGAGGAGACATCGCTAGAATTACCCAGCCTGACCAAAAGACCACCAGAGCCAGTGGCACAGACCCAAGAGCTGCTGCCACAGCCTGGTGTGAGGTGCTGTCAGCCTCAGCCAGGTCACTGCTTCTCTCCGTCCATGGAAGGTTCAGTGGCTCAGAGAAAAGGGACCTGCCTGAGTGATGCGGTTGTGGTTTGCCAGGAACATGGAGAGGTTCTGGGACTCCTGGATGGACTGGGGGTCTGCCATCTTCCTCAGGAACTGGGCAGCTCTGGAAGGGACAAATCCAACATCACCAAGGGTCACTCAGCCAGTGTGAGACTGTCACCACCCACCCTCCCTGTCTGACCTGCAGCAATGCTGCAGCCTCAGACCCCTCTGCATCACAGCTCTATTCACCAAGAGGGAACTGAAACACAACAGGGCTCAGAGATTTGCCTAAATTCACAAAGAGAGCCTGGGACAGCACAGAAATCCCATCTCCAGCCCTGATGTCCTCCTGCCCTCACTGCTGGTCAGACCAGGCACATTCCCACCACTTTGTCCCCTCTCACCTTTTGTAAGCAGAATGATCATTTTTCACGCTGCACTTCATGTTCTTCAGCTCATCCAGGACAGCAAACATGTTGATGAACTTGCCCAGAGTGAGGAGATAGGCCTCAGACACGAAGTCCTTCCTCCTCTCAGCGTGGCACAGGCGCTTCACCTCGCTGCAGAAGCGCTCGATGGCCTTGCGCTGCAGGCAGGGGCACAGCGTCATGCACCACCAGGGAACCCCCTCCACCCCACCAGCTCCTTGAAAAAAAGCTTTTTTTGGCTGGGGATGGAGGGTCTGAGGTTCCTCTCTGCTGCTCCCATGCAATGAAGCATTGTTACAAATCACTGCTGACAAACATGCTCAATGCTTGAGGGGAGAAAGGGGCTCCAGCTCTCCAACCCCAAGTGTGGGGTGTTCTGCAACATCAGGCTGCATTTTTTAGGTGGGACTTAAAGGCCCTGCAGGATATAAAACCTAAAAATGATTGTGAAACTCAGCTGCAGCTGGTTATAATGCAGGTGGTGATGGGGAGCCCACAGCAGCTGTGACTGCCACATGGCAGTGGACAATCAGCTCTTCACATCAGCCAACATCCCCAAAAAACAGGAACCTGTGACAGCCTTAGCTCCAAAGAGTGGGGACTCTGGGTCTCCATGAGCTTGAAGGGCTGAGGTGTGCTCTCTTCCAACCTATTCGAATATTTTGGGGCTGAGCAAGGCACACACAGATTTCCCTTCACATAGGTCTCACTTTTGCTCAAGCGGCTGCAAGGGAGAGACCTGCTGGGGGCTGTCCTGGCAGGCAAGGATAGCACAGCCCTGCTTGGGGCGTTAACACCAAAGTAAATAGGTTATTTTTGCCTTTCTCCTTCACCACTTACCTGAAAATACATGAACTTCATAAGCTTGGTGACTTCTGGCTCCAGGACTTCCACTGTTTTCTCATAAATCTCTACTCGGTTTGGCTGTTCATTACATTTCACCTGCATTGCAAAGAAAACCATTTGTGTCAGCATCAGCTTCTAAGCCAGCTGTGGGTCACTGTGACACCTTCTCCTTGCTTCACCTGGAGTCCTGTCCCCACCCAAAGACAACAGAGGGACCTGAGAAGGAGCTGGTTCTCAATACAACCAGTGAAAGCAAAAGGGGATATTTCAGATCTGAAATTCTCTCTGTGCATTCTAAAAAGGCACAATCCTGATTCTGGGGGACAAAAGTCTCCTAATGCATTTGTCTAGCATGGAACACAAGTGTGGAGTCTGGACCTGCTGTATAATATTGCAGCATGAAGTTATCTGAGATTTGTGTTGCAAGACACACAAGGCACCAGGTTCCAGCTCTGCAGAGCCTCGCTGGGATTATTCTGGTTCTGTTGAGGATCCATTAAAAATCACTGGGCTTGTCTGTGGCTGACAGCAATGAACTGAGTCACTGTCACTGGGCTCCTGGGAAGCTAAATTTAAGGACTTACTCAGTTGTCATCCATCTCACTTCCAAAACAGTTCCTTGCAGTCATTACCAAACGTACAGGGAAACAGCAGCTGCCCAGGGCATCCTGCTGCCCTGCCCTGCTTTTGTTTGCAGCTGTTGCTGCCAGGAGGCTCTGATGGGGCTGACAGCTCTGGGGCACGTTCAGGAACCCAGCAGCTGCTGCTCAGGGCATGGGGGGACACATCAGCCAGCCTGGCATGGGGGATGGTGCCAAAGAGCCTTGCCCTCCCTGCAGTGGGCAATCCATTGCCCCTGCACTGCTGTTCCTCACTGCAGTCAGGCTGTACCACACAATCCCAGAATATTCTGAGCTGGAAGGAACTCACAGAGATCACCAAAGCTCCTGGCCTTGCCCTGAGCATCCCACCGTGCATCAATGGCCATGAGGATGCAGTGGGGTGGGAGGAGTGGTGCACACTCAGGGGCAGGCTCTGTTCTTCACCTCTGATGCAGCAGGGAGCTGCACCTGACCAAGCAGGGAGGTTGGGGGGCTGAGCACAGGACCCCCCTGGCCACATCCATGTGTCCCAAGGCAAAGCATAGGGGTCACTGCAAGACCAAACCTGGTCAAGGTGTAACTGAACCCTCTGCCATGGCATCCTCTGCTCCTCCATCACACACAGCACTGAGAGCAGCCCGAGGGGAGCACAGGGGGAAGGGGCAGGGACCCACAAGCTGCTCAGAGAGGCACAGATGTCACAGGGAAGACACTACACCAGATGATTTTAGTGCTGCCTTGCCATCAGCTTAGCCACAGCCTTCTGCTGGAGTAGCCAGAGGAGGCAACAGCAGCAAATACAAAATACCAAATCAACAGCAGGAATCTCCTCGTGGCTGGGTCTCAGCATCCTCTGCTTTAGTTTGCTTTGCTTTTCCTGTTCTTCTGCCTCCACTCCAAACTAACCCACAGCCAAGACAAACCCAAGAGGGGCTCTGGGACCCCCCTGCCTGGGAAGGGCTGGGCTACCTGAGGGATGGCTCGTGAGCAGCTCCTCCACGTGTAGAGCATCACGGCGTACTCGTGCCCTTCCTCCAGCATCTCGTTCTGAAAGACAGAGGGTGCAGGTGGGACAGGGCAGGCCCTGGGGGCTCAGCAGCCTGGGGACAGAGCTGGGGGACTCACCATGCTGGAGTGCACTGTGGCCTGCTCGATGTACCTGGCAATGCCTGTCACAAAGGCGTTCCTGTCCTCAAAGTTGGTGTCAAAATTGGCCTGTGGGCAAAACAGAGAGGTGGGGTAAAACACAGCTGGTTGTTTGCTCACCTGGTACAGCCTGACATGGGATGTGCTGGCAAAAAGCAGAACTAGTAGGGCTCCTGGGGCATGGGAGGAGCTTGTGAATCTATTTGGGGTGCTGCACCTCTAGGTCTGAAGTAGTTTCATATACACACACGCCCTGAGATGCTTTGGAATCACACATGGCTGTCCTGCAGGGAATATGTATGCAAATATGGCAGTCAAGACTGACATTTACAATCCCTGTAGAATCCAGCCCAACTTTACAGCAGCCACAGCAGAGAGACAAGCTAGAGCAATTATTCTGGGGATTTTTAGATTGGTAACTCAGACAGATGCAGCCTTATTAATTTCTGTTTGTGCCCTGGCTGCTAGGGGAAGACCACATCCTGTCAGCAGGAAGGCCAAGGGATAAACACAGAGAAAGGGCAGGGAATGAGCTGTCTGGAAAACATAAATATGAAAGTCAGCCCTCATCCAGGTGCTATTATCAGTGCTACTGCTGCTCTTGCAAGCACAAACAGCTGTTGGGACAAACATTTGCTCTGGAAGCTGTGATAGTTTTGGGTTGGGACAGGGGAGCAACACTGCAGAGGCAGGTGGGGATGGAAAATCAGCTCCCCTGGCGCTCTGGAGTGCCCTCCACATGCCCTGTGCTGGGTGAGTTCCTCTGCCAAGGCTGGCTGCAGGGCAGGGCACACAGAGGCCCCAAGCACCCAGAGCTGCTCCTTGTGATGACAGCAGCACTGCAGCCACCACACTCGCCTCAATAACTGATTTCCTGAGTGGGAAAGCCGGGAGCACAGACTGTGGCCACAGGGCTGCTCTTCTCAGTGCCTCCAGGACATCACATGTGACCCATGTGACAACAAAAGCTGAGATTGCATGAGCATTTCTGGCTAGCAGGGGGAAGGGCTACACACAAACTGAGTATGATGAGGAACAGGCTTGGCCAACATCTCCAGATCCAGCTTAAAGGATGTTTTTAGGCCCAGCTGTGTGCACAAACTCATAGCCCTGAAAGGAGGCTGTGCCATAAGGCTGAACCCTGAGCCCCTCATGAGACATAAACCAGCAAAGGCTAAAAATTTATTGAAAGAAGAGATAAGCAAATAATTACATCAAGATTTTTCAGGGAGAGCTGAAATTTGAACAGCCCAGAATGACCTTTGTGTCTGATAACCCATAGAGATACCAAAGCCGTGTAATGATCCCGGGCTCTGAGCTGCTGTAATTCCAGCATGCAAGGCACAGCAATCCCAGTGCTGGTGTATTTATACACTGCCACGGTGAGCCAGCAGCTCAGGAGTGGCAGGATGGAGAAAGGAACCCCCTATTATGTTTAACCCTGGGTGTGGTGGCCAAGCAGCAGAGGCATCCCACTGTGGGAGCCGTGCCCTGGGCCCCAGCCAGGCTCTGCTTGGTGAGTGCAGCTGCAGCTGAATCTGAGCTGTTCAGGGCACAGAAGTGGTTCTAGCAGCTGCCCTCCCGTGCATGCCAGCAGCTCCAGCTGTGCTGGAGGCACAGGCCAGCCAAAGGCAGGCAGGACCTTGAGCCTGCCCCGCTCAGTTCGATGCACGCACGGCCGTGGAAAGGAAGCACAGAAATATGTGCACAAATAAACACTGCTGAGAACTTGCTGCTGTTATCACAAATCTTATCTCCTGCTTCCCACCCATTCATGCACTCTGGTCCTCGTTTTCACTTGGCCTTAAAAGTCCCTTTCACCAAACTCTGGTGCTTTCTCTTTAAAGTCCTTGGGAACAGATTTGTGGCTAGATCTGTTCTGAGTGCCTCCCTCAGCACGCTGAACCCCGGATGTTTTCAGCTGGTTCTCACAGTGCTGTGTGGCCCCGTGCTTTGCATGAGCCACAGGAACAACCCTCCCTCCCTCCCTGCCCTGTGCCTCGGGGGTACCTGGTACATGATGGAGGAGGGAGGAGGCTCGATGCATGGCTGCTGGTCTGGCAGGGGCAGCTCCTCCAGCAAGTCCACGTTGGACAAGGCATCCTCGAGCGTGACGTGAGTCGTCATGGCTGCGGATGTTCAGCTCCCCTGCTGCATCCAAAGCAAAAGAGAGGGTGATAGGCAGACAAGAAAACCAGCCAGCAGGCAGGACACTGAGTGGGAAAGGACAAAACCAGAGCACAACTCGCTGGCATTGCAGGGGACAAAACCCCAATTTTTTTTCCTTTCTCTTGTGCATTATACCACATCTCCGTGTCATCTCTCTCCTGCGATTCAACAGCAGAGCAGGAATGCAGAATAAGAGAAACACAACTACCCACCCAGGCACTTCTCTCTTAACTCTATGCAAAACTCCCTCAGCCAGCACAGCTGGTGCTGCAGTGCAGCTCCAGCAGCCCCGGGTGAGAGCGTGTGCCCCGAAATGCAAAGCGGCGCTATCAAGAATATCTCCTGAAGCAGCCTGGTTAGAGAAGTATGACGGATGCTGACACTCACATGCTTTCCTCACACACATGAACAGCCCTGGAAACTGTAAACAACCAACTGCATTAATTCCCAGAGGTGAACTGGAAAGGCTTGAGTGCTGTGCAGGCAAAGCTGTGGCACTGCAAGCAGCAAAAAAAGGAGCTGCTGTTAAATTTCCCTACTCTTACCACTGACGTGGCATCCCCTGCCCAGTCCCAGCCTGCCCTGGAGCTGCCAAGAGCTCCAGTTGCAAAAATGAAAATAAATACACAGAATAAAATCAAAGGGAAACATTTCTGAAAGTTCCCTGGTGCTGACCCCGGGCAGGCACCCAGTGGGAAGCACAGAGCAAACCTGTGTGTCCCTGCCTCCCCTGGCACTCACCTTGGCTGTGAATGCCCAGCACGGGGGGATGGTGCTGTCACCCAGGCTGAGCCCTTGTGTAATCACAGCCACAGGGCTTCCCCAGTTAATGCCTAATCCTGTGCAATAGCTGTGGCTGACCTACAGCCTGTGTCTCCCAGAAAAACACCCCGCTGCACTCAGACATTGGGAGAGAGAGAATTCTTTAAATATTGACACCTGATTCCATTAGAAAATCACAGCCCCTCCAGTGCTTCCTGCCTCACTCAGAGCCTGTCTAGTTTGAAATGTGAGCCTTTGAGTTTCATTGCTCTGATCTGCAGGACAGTAGAGCTCCCTAAATCAAAGTTCCCATCGAGATACTCACACATTTCAATATAACACCCTGCAACCCAGCTAAGCTCTTTGCCTGCCTCATTACAGAGCATGTTTTCAAATCCTTTAATCATCTCTTTGGCTTTTCTCTAAGCTTTTGCAACTTTTTTTTTTGCCAGACACGGTAGCAGGCAGGACACAAGGCTCTGGCAGTGTCTGCACAAGCACCAAATACACAGAACCATAGCAGTTCCAAGAAAATAAGTTTGCTTTTTATTCCCAGCACTGGGAAGGATAATGGCTTTGGGATATCCATGGATAGGCACCCAGCAAGGGCTACAGCCAAGGGGGAGGCACAGGGGTGGCTTCATGGTGGGTCATATGAAAGAAGGAGTCTGCAGCTCATTATTGTGGGCTGCAAGAATACCTATGAGCCTGGCAAAACCCATTCCTGCTCCACAAATGCCTCCCCAAGGCACCAGGCAGCTGAGAAACAGGTTTGGTTGTACCTGCAGCTGAAGCAGCATTAAATGAGTGCCTGGAAAATACCCGAAATCTCAAGCAGCTTTTCCCCCTCCACACTCAAATTTCTGTTTCCTTCTTCACCCCTGACTGGTAAAATGGTTTCCTGTTACAAATTGTAGCAAGTGTCAAAGGCAGACATGCCATTTCTGCAGCTTCCTCCCTGCCTGCCTGGGGCTCCCTGGGCTGCTCTCTCTGCCCGGGGGAGGCTCAGCGTGCCCAGCCCCAGATGGACACAGATGGACACAGAACTGCCCACCACGATCCCCACCATCCTCAGGACCACCATTGGCATCCCACAACAACACTCCAGGCTACTCCCTCATGCTTCATTGCACACTTCAGGCTTGAGAAGGCAAAACTTTCCTTTTCATGGGCTTTGTGGCTGTTTATTTGGGCTCATTCCCCATTTTTCTCTAAGTCCAATTCTAGGGCCATTTGTGCAAGGTGCTGTCTGTTTGCTGTAACCAAAGGCATTCCCACAACAACCCTGTGACACCCAAATAGCTCAGCAACTCAAGGGACAAAATTATTGCAGGTGTTTGGGCCACCCCAGGAGAAAGAGCACCAAATCCAGCATCAGGGTCCTGCTGTGCCAGGCAGTGCCCACACCTGGGAGGCTGAGCCAGTCCCTACCCTGAAAGTGTTGCACTCAAACAGACAAAGAGGAAGGGTGCAGAAATACAAGAACAGAAAAGAATGCATCAAGTGAGAGGTGCAATCAGCCACCAGCCCACCCCAGCTTTGCCAAGGCTGAGCAGTGCAAGGATCCAGATGCAGCTGGAAAAACTACAGACTTAGAGGGTTTAACACATGAGTTTTTATGGGGACTGCCAGCTTCCAACCCACCTTTTCTTAAGACCAATCAGGAACCCAACAGCAGCTCCAGGGAACAGTGTGGTCAGCCAGGACTTCCCCTGGTGTCCCCAGCACATTGTCACAGACAGGGTGTGTGACAGAGGGGCCCCTGGTGCAGACCTGGGTCATTCAGCAGGCCAGATCAGCCAGAGGGGATGGCAGTGAAGCCCCAGTCCCCCAGCCCTGTGCTGCCCTCCCTCACCCTCCTGCAGAGAAGGTTCTAACCCAGACATCTGGGGCTGTCCTGTACACCCAGCTCCATCCCTCTGTCCAGAGACAAGGGGGCAGCTGGAGGTCACATCTGGCAGCAGCTCCAGCTCAGGGAGTTCAGGGATCCCTGGGGACACTCATCAGAACCCCTTCACTGCCATCCACCACCTGGGCTTTGGGTGGCTGTGCTGGGAAGAGGACAAGAGGACACTCAGCCCATGGTGACAGTGCTTGGGCACACAGCCATCGGGCTGGGCCCCACCCGAGCAGGGAGCAGCACAGCAGGGCCCAGGAACGGGGCTTTCCTCTGTCCTAGCCCAGGCACAGCGGGGTGAGGCTCTCCTGAAGCACATCCTGCCTCTCTGGCCTCACAGGAGCCACCCCCAGATCCCAGCTCTGGTCAGAGAAACCAAAGTTCTTCTGGTCCTACATGTTTTGGCAAAACTGAAGGTGAGCCTGGCAGAAACCAACCCCACCCCAGTGAAACCTGAGGCAGGGATGCTGCACTGGGCTGTTCATTCCTCCTGCCCATGAGCAGTGGTGCTAATGGCAGTGCTGCCCACTCTTTCTGCTCATTTGCTTCAGGAATTTCCCATCCCCTTCCCACAGCTCAGCTGCAGCCCCTCTGGCCATCTCACACACCTTCCAAAGCCCAGTGATCTCACAGAGGACCTGGGGGAGCTGCAGGGAGCCAGCCAGGCAGGGATGGGAAGGAGGAGCTGCTGACACAGGGGCTTTTGTGGCACAGCCTGGGGACCAGAGCCTGGGGACCAGATTCACAGACAGCTCAGGAAGGCTCTGAGGAGAATGGACAGCCCAAATAGCTGAACTTGCAGGGCTTGTCCTGCCTTCCCCACCAAAATGCTTGCCCAGAAGTATTGGTGCAGTATCACCCTCTTTGCAGGGAGAAGCAAGGTGATTTTAAAGCCCAAAGCAGCTTGGGCTTGAACAGTAAAGACTTTTAAAATAAATAAAGACTTTTAAAAGCAGGGCCATAATGAATGTGTTGCATGCACACACGCTCAGCTCCCAGGCTGCACAGCTCAGGGCTCTGGGGAAGTGGCATGGGCTGTTTAGGATTTCCAGCTTGCCTGCTCCTCACACTGGTGCTGTAGTAGGCAACAAGAGCAGGAAAGGAGGCAAGAAAAAATGGGAATTGCCCAGACACAGTCCAAGCCCTGTGAGCCTGGGGTGAGCAGTAAAAGACTTGCTGGGGAGGTGGCAATGTAGAGAAGGAGAACAAACCTGGTCACCATCTGATTATCTGAGAATCCAACTCTGGCTCCCAGCCCCTGGGTAACCTGGGAAAGTTACTGTATTTAGTTTTACCCCGGTGAAAATGCTTCTTTCTCCAAATACAGCACCAAAGCAGTGGGCAGGCCCTCTCCTGGCCCAACAAATACCCAGCAGAACCAAGTGTCAGTTTCATAAAAGCCAATTTCTGGTACCCACTGCCTGACAGCAACAGGAGGACAAAGGATCCTGGCCACCAACATATATTTAGTAAAAAATAACTTCACAGTGTAAAACTTTAGTTTGACTCCTGCCTACAATGCACAGGACTTGTAATTGCAACCACCACCACAGTCAGGAGGAGAGTGAGTGAGGCTGGCAGAGCTGGGCCTCTGCTCTCCACAGACACAGACGTTAATAACCATAAAATTACCTTCCCTTCAAAAAAAGGAAGCCAAACTGCATGACTCCTGAAACTGTTTTTCTCTATTTCTACTCTATGTTTTCTGCCACCCCATTAGGGCTGAGTTCCAAGCATTTGCACCATCCTTGTCTCTCGGCAACACAATTATCCTGGAATTTATTTCTTTTAGAATAACTAAACAGTATTTTTTTTTTCTGGTGCCAAAGAAAGCGGGTGAAGGAAATAAAAAGGTATATGAAACTACATTTCTAAAAGAGTTGAGAAATTTAGAGCAAGTTTATAAGCAACCCACTGCTGATAGTTAAAGCACTTCTTGGGAAACCAAATCACACAGGCCAGCATTGTTAATAGTTGACCAATTATTGATCTTCCAAAATCAATCTTCCCATTTCTCCTGAAAGGATGATAACTGTTTGCTAACAAAATTGAACACAGTGAAAATGAATTCAGCATATCCAGCTTTACTCCTGGTCAGAAAATGGAAGATTTTCCCCTATTCCTTAGGCTTCATTAATAACAATCTGTACAGAGAAAATGAAAAAATAATTTTCCTTTGCAGGGAATCAGCACAGAATTATATGGCTGTGACACCAGAATACTGGGCTAGTCCCCCATCTCTGCGACTAACCCCAGACTACCCTCATCAGGCAAAGCACGAGGGGGATTTTTCTCTCGGTGTCTCGGGGCAGGAGGGTGCAGAGGCTTCAGCGGCTCAGCCCAATT